TCAGTGCGAATACCACAAAAAAGTGTTGAATGTATATACCTCAGCTATAGTTTTCATTGCGTATACTACACATTCTGCTTATTGGTTGGAGGGATGTAATTATTTTTCAAATATGTTTTTTCCACAAGCGACATTATTCGTAATTAACCTGTTAAATACTTTAATGAAACATATCCGGTGATAAGGCATTACGTTATAATAGTGGATTTGAATATGTCGCTTTTTTAAACTTAAAAAATTGCAAATTTATACGGCATCGAAAAAATTCGTTAACCCTAATAGATGTTCATAACCAATATATTTAAGAAATCTATTTGTTTTCGATTTCATGTTTCAAAATATAATGAAGCATGTATATCTCACATTATCGGTAGACATTTGGAATTATAATGCCTTGGTCCATTGTGATAATTATATGAATATTTACCGCCTTCGACTACAGTATGGTAATATTCAGGGTTACTACAGTTGACTACGTTGCCTTACCTATTTGATGACGAAAACATGAACATATAACAGGCAATTTTAGAAAATAACGTTTACAAAGATATTTATAATTATAAGCACTTTCTGTCTTTGTCATAGTGTATGTCGGCTACGTTTTCAGTACCATCTTCTCTGTCAAGTAACCGTCTTTTTTGCTTTCTATCAGATGATATAAAAACAACATTGTTGTCAATATAATGGAAATTTATGCGACTGTCATACAATTGAGAGGTTTAGCTAGCCATAAAACCAGGTTTAATCTACCATTTTCTACATAAGGAAATGTCTGTACCAAGTCAGGAATATGACAGTTGTTTTCCATTCGTTTGATATGTTTGAGATTTCGATATTGTCATTTGATAAGAAACTTTCCGTTTTCAATTTTCCTTGGAGTTCGGTATTTTTGATATTTTACTTTGTATGTAGCCTCTCCTACCATGTAAAGGTTTCCATATGCGTCTGATGTGAGTTTAGATGGCGACGAGAAAAGTTATGTGTAAGCAAACCTCCAAATGATGTTTGCTGATGAATCAAGGAGAGTTATTTAGTCTTTTTACATGTCACTCATGCATACGTTTCCCTTAGACATTGTTACATAAGAAACGGACACATACCCGTACGAATAAAATTGTTGCCGTACACAGACGCAAAGATAGAGAATTTACCTATGATGTTCTATTGCGAGGCAAAATTAATTCGTCTTTATTTTTCTGTCAACCGGTCTAACGGAATGTTGTCCTCTGGAAATAGCAACTGTAGAATTATCTACTGATGCTATGTCCTTTATTTCTGCTAAATCAATAACAAATCGTTCCTTGAATGGAATGTCGTAATTAAAGATTGTAAAAACACCTACTCCATCGACACACACGAAATCATTATTTGGGAGTATGCAGAATGCACAAATTTCCGGACTTTCTGAGTCTGTGTTGGCTACATTGAATTTTTGGGCTATTCCTAGCTGTGTATTATGACTTCTTATCGGTATTTGTATCCTATGATACAGCATTTCTAAGGTTGTTGTCTGTTGATCCTTTGTCTTATTGGATTGATTATGTCCATCTCTGCAAAGATTATATAAATAAAGGCAACAGTAGTATACCGCTATTCGAAATTCATAAATCGATTGAGAAGAAAAACAAATCCGGGTTACAAACTAAAACAGAGGAAAACACATCAAATATAAGAGGAGAACAACGACACAACAGAAACTCAACACTAAAATGCAACACACACAGAAACGAACTATAATATTACAATGGCCATTTTCCTGACTTGGTACAGGACATTTTAAGAAAAAATGGTGGGTTGAACCTGGTTTTGTGGCTAGCCAAACCTCGCACTTTTATGGCAATGTTAAATACAACACTAAAATGACACCATTACATGACAGGAATGCAGTACAAATAAATGCAAGAACATTCGGGACAGAGAATTACGCAAATAAACAATACAATATAGTACATTTCGACAACGAAACAACAGAAACACGAAGTGAACAAAACACAAACGACAATGCAACAGACATAGAAACAAACTATACGATAACAATTGCCATTTTCCTGACTTGATACAGGACATTTTTTAGAAAAAAAAGGATGGGTTGAACTTGGTTTTGTGGCTAGCCAAACCTTCCTCTTTTATGGCAATGTTAAATATAACATTGAAATGACAAGATTACATGACAGGACTACAATACAAATAAATGGGAGAACATACAGGACAGAGACACACACAAATAATAGATATCACAAGGTACCAGGCTTATAATCTAATACGCCAGTCGCGCGTTTCGTCTACATAAGACCCATCAGTGACGCTCAGATCAAAAAAGTTCGAAAGCCAAAACAAGTACAAAGCTGAAAAGCATTGAGGACCAAAAGTTCAAAAAAGTTGTGCCAAATACGGCTTAGGTTATATGCCTGGGATAAGAAAATCCTTAGCATTTAGAATAATTCATACTTTTCAAACAGTAAATTTAGAAACAGGACTATACAATAGATATACATGTTAACACCGATGTGGTGACTAACTACAGAATAAAAACGAATACATGAAACAACCTAAATCAGCACATAAAAAAGGCACAGCCGAACAACGTATTATATGTTAGCCGAAGAAATCGACGCACAATGTGACGTCACATTTAAATTTCTATAAATTTCCAAAAAATAGGATAGAGTTCAACATAAGGTTTGTAATACTGATATAACATGTATTAATAACAATGAAAATTACAATACTTATTATTATAAAATTGTGGTAGTAATTAGATAATTAATTGTATTATCAAGCTATGTCGGTATTTCTTCTAAATCAAACTGTAAACCAAATACATCGTATAAATTTAGTTGACCCAAACTAAAATCTTATAAATGAACTGGATGATTAATAATCTTTACCGTAACACACAAATAAAACAGAAAAAAATAAGATTTACAACTACAAACGATAAGACATTTGACAAAATCCGACGAGAATAACAAATATAATATCAAAACTAAATACATGGATTTTGGATAGAAAAATACCGTGACACGTCTTATAGCAATGCGAATTCATGCTCAGCAAAACAGTCACAATCGGGAATAAGTAACGTTCGGTACGTAACAGATCAGACGACGTCATGGCAAACCACAATCTAACACGTGGTAAAAATGTCCTTTGTTAGTTTGGACAAAGACACATCGTATGAATCAACCAATGGTGTCCATAAAATTTACGGAGTGGCATTTTTATTCTGTCCTCCTCATAACTTTTTTGGAGCAGTTTCTGCGTTAGGAGCACACTCCTGTATATGAAGTCCGTATAGTGTGAACATTCACGAGCATAACGTATCAACTGAGATATGTAAACACCATACGAAGGGGCAGCGGGTATGTTACTGCTGAGAAATGGGAAATTGATAATAGGGAAGTTGAATTCGTCCCGTTTATCATAGATTTTCGTGTGAAGTCGTCACTAAAACACTTTCACATTCAGGACATTATCGTTCCCATTTTTAAGACAAATGCCACAGCTATCACAAGTAGAAGTAGCCATTTCTTTACCTGTAAAGTTGTTAAGGCAAATGCAGTCGATGGAAAGTGCAAATCGAGAAAACATAATGAATTTCTGTACCAAGTCAGGAATATGACAGTTGTTTTCCATTTGTTTGATGTGCATAAGTTTTTGATTTTGCCATTTTATAAGGGACTTTCCGATTTGAATTTTCCTTGGAGTTCGGTATTTTTGTTAATTCACTTTTTTCTTATATAAAGTCGCGATGTTTTCTAATATGAAATTGTAAATATGCAGACATTCATGAGGAAAAACATGTTTTTTGCCAAAAATGAAGTTTAATATCAAAATATATAAATACGTTCAGTCAGGAATTAATTCACTCGACAAACAGAAGAGTTTTATTTATCACCATTAATTATCGGTTATTACAAGCCTTTCAAGGTCGATTTAAAGACAAAATGCAAGTGGACCAGTTAAACGAGCAACAAAGTAAGATTTCCTAATGGAAATATAAACTGTTAATCTTTCATTTAGATATAAACGGGGTCTTGAAATATGCTCAATATCAAAGTAATAGCAAAAAGTTATGTTCTTGTAAAAATTGTACTGCTACGCATTTTTTTTGTAAATAAATAATTGAATGCTATTTATTTTATTGTAGAAGTGATATTTTTAAAGGCAGTTGTGGTATGTTTTGATTGTAACTATACCTTTCATGTTATATGAGGTAGCAGTTTTTAGCCCACTGCTTAAACGTCAAAATGAACTTTTGATACATCTTTAAATATATTTGTATTCTTTAAAAAGTGTTTGGTAGATGTTTTTCACTTGTTCCGTTGATTGATAGCGTTATATTTTGTCAGTTTTTATTGACTTCCCCTTTTTGAATTTGCCTTGGAGTTCGGTATTTTTGTTATACTTTTTATATGTGAAGAATAAAAATTCAAGTCATGTTAGCTAGTGGATAACATCAAAAACTGTCGGTATAACTTCATTTTAAGATCTTGTCTTTAATATTTACATGTGACCATTATTAGGCCCCTGAAATTGTAAATATAATACACTTATTCAAGCCGTTTGAAATTATGTTAAATGTATTGATAAATAAACCAAATGCTCTAATCTGGTAACGTTAGTGAAAAAAAAGGTAACTTGACCTCATACACATGTCGAAATTTACGTATTGGACCTGAAGTGGCCATTTCACGCATAGTTTTTGCAAATATAGATATAAGCAAGATATTTCATACAAACTTACATCTTTGTAAAATTCATTTTGCAACAAAGTATTTTTTTCGGTAAAGCCCTTGCTTTATGGATCGTTTTAAAGACCTACACAAGATCAAAATATGCAATAATGTAATTTCTATAATTTAAAAATAAAGAATATAGTGGCTGGACAAAATAAGGCCGGAACAAATACTATTTTCGTTCATTTAAAATACACAAGTTTAAATTTTAAATTGCGTACTTGAAATCACGTGGTCTACTTGAACATATTAAGGACAGGATTTAGATTGAAGGAAGATGAAACATATTCAAGACTTCGAATGAATATTATATATGGTGAAGAAACACGAGTACATTTTTCATAGAAAAGTGAGTAGACTTCTGCTAAGGTTTTCCTTATTTTAACACTACTTTGATAAGGCAGATTAGCATAGATTGCATAAATATTAAATTTTTCTATCGTTTTCACAGAAACTTAACATGTTTTCGAAATATTAATCATCAACATGATCGATAAATCACCGAAAGCTGAAAAATTTATTCCAAATGTTGACTTGAACATTACATATTTTCATTAATATGTATAAAAATATAAACAAATAAATAAACAGATAGATAGAAACATAGCGTCCATATACCTAAAACAATAGAAACAAGGCTTCAGGTACATGGAATACCATTTGAATCACGTGATCGTAATAACCAAGATGAATGCTACACCATATGTAATATATATGGTTAATTTTTATTATGTGATTTGTTTGATACATTGGTCAAATGTTTTGTCAAATAACCTGTGTCTCTAGGTTAGATAAACACATCCAAGATATCAGGCTTATCATTTTATAACTTTATAAATGTTTATGTCAATAGTTTTTGTAGGTCTATAAATATTTTACTTGCTCAATGATTCAAATAGGATGGGACAAAATTTTTTACCCACTTAATTATGAAGTGTCTTCCTGTATACAATCCGATAACAATTTGACATTAAATCTAGAAATTGTACATACACAAATTATAAATTGTAATATGAGTATAATTCAACCCTTGGTCGATTATTAGAATAACCACATTTATGGGTTTTGGAAAGTGAAAGTGTGAAAACGTAAAGGCGAATAAAAATTGCAACTTGAGAGGTTTCATTCAGGAAGTTATTTGAGAAATATGATATCACTCAGACCTTTTCATATACCGTATCTAAAAATAGAACATAGTTATGAGACAACTGTCCTCAAAACTCATTTGATCTCTTCTGTGTTAATATGAGTTATCATTGACATGGTCATAATTATAAATTAATTGTTTACAAAACTTTGAAGTTTTTGAAATACAAAGGATTTTCAACCCCCAGATAACCTTAACTGTATTTGGAAAATTTTTAAGGAATTTTGGGTCGTCAATTCTCTTCAACTTCGAACTTTATTTGGCCTTTTTGACTTTATTATTCGAGCGTCTGATGAGTCTTCTGTACACGAATCAAGCTTCTGTCGTAGAAAATTTCAATCATGGTATCTATAATGAGTTTATTTCCTAAGTTGTCGAGTGAAATATTTCCATCATGTGGCAAGTTTAACATAACAGCTTTCAAATCTCTTCAAGCATATGATGTATCGTGTACAATAAGAAAATATATGGTCAGCATTTTCTAGTGGAGTTCCACAAACACAGGCTGGAGATACTTTAAAATTATATTTACTTTAAACAAATCGTTAAGAAATGAAGCACCACATCTGAATTTTGTCTAGCGGATATTTAATTTTCTAGGGCCAATAGATTTTATTTTTAAAATTGTTTTTTATCACCATGACATTTGGCGAGTAAGAAATTCTTTCATTTAGGTATATATGGAATAAAATGGTCCAATTAACTTGATTCTCTGATTGTAAAAAGAAAACGAAAAACAGTAAGTGAAAGTCTTCAAAAAGGGATTATTAATAAGCTCATCTTAGATACCAGGATTGAAATTGTTTACGCAATCGCGCGTTTTGTCTACAAAAGACTCATCAGTGACGCTCAAATAAAAAAAGTTAAAAAAGGAAAATAAAGTACGAAGTTGAAGAGCATCCCCATCTCATAATGAATAAATTGATGAGCTTATGTATACATAGAGGAACTAATTCTCTTAGATATTCCGGTACATCGCCATTTACAACATTATAAAATAATTAGTTTTCGACGAGTAGGACGTGTTGTAAAAGTTTCCTACCCTCTCTGAGCGCATTAAATTTAATGTTTTTGTAAAAATTGCTTAACCTAGCCTGTCACTATTCTGGCAGCTTTCATTTATAGTTTATTTTCATGTTTATCTGAATCGACAAGACTATAGTTGTCCAAGATTCCTTAAGCATATTAAAAAGGGGACGGATATAAACTAAGAATACTATTTTGTTTATTCAATCAAAATTTCAAAAGACTATTTTCATATTACCGACTTTTGACTCCGAAGTTTATATTATTTCAACAGGTTACTCTGTGGTAGGACATCCAAGTACCAATTCAAGTAAGAGCAACGTAAAGAAGTTAAATCAAGCTTTCAATCGGTACAAATTTTGGGGAAAAATAACTGCTTCATATTTTCTTTACACGACAAAATCATCGGAAAACAGTAAACTTTCCCCTCAAATTACACCAATTATATGCTTGATTTTACTTATTTTGGTTGCTCTTACTTGGCCGAGTACCAGGATGTCTTACCACAGAAAAGATAACCTGTCGAAAAATTATATAATCCGGAGTCAAAAGTCGGTAATATGAAAATAGTCTACTGGCTTAGTATTCCTAAATGTTTGTTGACCTTTGTTTAAAAAAACTGGTAATTTGGTTCCGTTTGGCATTTTTGGACAGAATAACACCCAAGTGCTTATGACTTGTCCATCTACGTAGAATTTTGAAAACCGAAGGACTAACTAAGGAGTTTATGATTCTCGGGGGGGGGGGGGGGGGGGGAGGGACTAACAAACAACCGGCAGAGGAATCGAACCAGTGTTTGAGAATGAAAAGAAAATCTTTAAATTTGATGTGTTCGAATCGCTTTTCGTGACTTACCTTAATAAGGAACTTTCAAACCCGCGTGTGACAAAATGACTTTTTAAAGTATACATATGAAATAGTTGTTTTAAATGTCTGAACGAAGTTTAAAAACTGGAACACCGTTGTTTAGTTGTACAATTTTAATAACTCTTCATAAAGTATGGGCATCAGAAGTTTTATTTTCGGGATTAATTATCATCAGAAATGATCAAAAGCAAAATTTAAAATATAGAGATGTATGAATACTTGGGGAATTATTTTGTAGCATTCAACTAATTCCTGATAGCAATGGTAATTTTGTGAAGTGATATTTGTAGTCCTTTTCGCATAACCCACACTTAGCTTTGCTTAAAAGATATGAAGATAGAGGTATACTTGTCAATGATTACTAATCAGGAATGAGAAACTGAGGATTACATAATAAATATCCCGTTTGTCATACAATTTAGTCAGGGAGGGTAATTTTTAGAAAAAATGATGTGAATAAGACTTTCTTGTCTGTACATTCTCCATAATTTCAGAGGCTTCTAGTCAAAATGAGATCCAAAATTTCAATTGAATTAAGACATTGAAAATTAGAGGTATAATACAGCGATTTTTCTCAAAAATTCTTACGACAAAAAATACCCACATAAATAACGAACAATTAACGATCAATTTCATTCGTTAAATGTTTTGTGAAAAATAATACAGAGCAATAAAATGAGTAACAACATATATTTAAAGGTATTTAAACAATACCTTCTAAACTTGGCAAATTCGGATTTAAGCATTTCTGAAAAAGTAGTAAAACTGAAAAGTTTGGGTTTTATGTTGGTTAAAATCATTTCCATCCATATTGTACGACAATATCATACTAATGAATTACGTAAAGAGTTCCACGGAATACTGTGTCTCGCCTGCAATTGCTGTCAGGGTAAAGACGTTTATCTGTCAAAAATTTAGTCCATTTATCGGTAAAATATAGGGGGGAAATCTACATATTATTTTTCTTCATATGCTATTTCTTGATCATGCAGGAGCTTCTGTTCAAGTTTCAAAGCATTCCATGGTGGTTTGACGAAGTTTTTGATGACTACAGCTTTTAATTAATTCCAAACTGTGTGTACGTACATCTATAAAAAAGATATTGAAAAGTGCAAAATATATATTTTGAAATTTTGCGTCCTATGTTATGTCTTAAGTAAAGAACCATGATAGAAGTTTCATAAAATTCTAAGACGAGTTGACGAATCAATTGATGTCCAAAAAAATCCAGCTCAAGACTGTGTCTTAATGTTAGCTGCAGAACAAAAACTAAGTCCTTTTATTAGTAAATTTCAGAAAAACTAGAGAAAAAAAATACTTTCATAGTTTTGCACTATAGATACTTCACTTTACTAAGCTTCTATCCAAGTTTCTTAAAATTCTATGAAAGTTAGACAAAGTTGTTCGTGTCTTAAACACTTTAAACTTAGACATAACATAAAAAAGTCCATTTTTCAGTAAAATACAGAAAAATAAGAATATTTTTTGGAATTGTTTTCTAGAAACCTTCTCTTGATCATAAACAGCATTTGTCCACGTTTCTAAAAATTCGCGAAGGTTTGACAAAGTTAATCAAATCTGAACATGTTTAACCTTAAACTGTATCTTAATGTTAACCGAAATAAAAAAAAAAAAAAAAAAAATTATCAGTACAATACTGAAAAATGAAAATAAAGCCTATGTTCATACTTTTGGTTACTGTCTTCAGCCTCTTTCCACATTTGTTATTATTCCAAAAAGGCATCACAAAGTAATTGATGTTAATGATATTTTTCAACATACTGAGCTCTTCAAAAAGAAGATGTGGGTTTTACTCAACCAGACAACACCATTGAACAATATGTGATTGTTCATGACTAAACTTGTGAAAAAGGGGGAGGTATGACTACGGCAATTATATGACCACTAAAATTACAGAAGCAGTAACATTATGCGAGCCTTAACATTTATGTTAATTTTATTGATACATGATCTGGTTGATCTTATCTGAAATAATCTGGACATTTAACTGCAAAAATATTCGCTCGTAGTGTCAACTTTGATACATAAACATCTTGAAATTGGAAAATTTGACCAAACTTGTTCATTATTTTAACACAGTTCCATCGACAAAACAAAAATATTAACCGCGGCTTTACTCAAACGGATATTTTACATATATCAACACATTCGTGAAATATATACATCTTGTAGCAAAACATCCTCTTTTGGTAACACTTTCGTTCATATCTAAATATAAATGAAACGATTTCAAAAGAGTTTATTTTGTCACTTACCAGTATGACGTAAACATATTAACTCTTTTTATTTTCACACTCCTGCATGGTTCATGGTTAAGTTTAAGGAGGAATCTGTTCTGCATTATACATATATATGATATATCAACTGCATAATTTGGTGTGTGTATTTGTTGCGAGAAAAAAAAATGTTAGGATTTGACCATTGGTCAGGTTCTGATCTGCATTAAATTAATAATCATATCACACTTCAAAAGATAGTAAGTTCTACATAAATCCTAATTTGATTTATGTTTTTACATTTGAATTTTTTAGTTTTTTCGTTTTTCAAATCTAACTATATCGTCACATTTTTTATTTCATTGTTTGTAATGCATATATTTGGTATTCATTAACTTTTACTGTATATTAATGGTGTTTTAAACAGTATGAATTTTTTGTTAATCATTAAGAGTTTGTAAAAACATTTCAGTATCATAATGTCCAATTCTACATCCCTGTGTGGTGTGTGTGGTCTGCGTCACCTGTCTAAACCATCGACAGTCTGGTGTCTTGATTGTGACGAAGGACTTTGTTTTGATTGCAAAGAACATCATAGCTTACTGAAAGCGACAAAAAGTCATAACATCATTTCTATCAATGAGTATCAGAAATTACCACGGAACGTGTTAGAAATTACACAGTACTGTACAAAGCACGAAGAAATTTTCCAAATATTTTGTAAAAAACACGACTGTCCTTGCTGTAGAAAATGTATTATTGAAACTCACAACAACTGCATAGATTTAATCGAAATTGAAGATTATATAAAAGATGTTAAGTCCTCGGCTAGGTTAAGTGACCTTGAGGACATCCTTAATGAAACGACTGAAAACGTTAAAAAAATCTGCATCAATAAACAGGAAAATCTAACATCTCTTCAGGAAGTAAGAAAGAAAATAGAAAACGAAATTGTACAGACCAGGATTAAAATCAATAACCACTTAGACAAACTACAGGCCGATTTAATTCAAGAATTATATGCAAAAGAAGCAAACGAAAGCAAAAAAATACTACAGGTATTAAAATTGTTAGAAGAGAAAGAGGCTCAATTAAAAGAATGTCAAAATAACTTTGTACACATAAAGAAATATGCGTCTGATGTTCAACTTTTTCTTTCAATGAAACAAATAGAAAACGACACTGTGAAAGATGAAGAATTTGTCCAATCATTGATGGAAAATGGAAGAATTTTTCAAGTAATATTATATTTGAAAGACATTATTGACACCAAAAACATAGCTGTCGATATTCCGTACATAGGAAAAGTAGGTGTGGATTACTCTCCAAGTCTAGTCAGTATCACAAAAAATAAGGAAAAGCAAGCGCAGATGATGGCGACCAAAACGACCATAAAGTCAATTAAAAATATCGCGCTAAAGGTTCAAAAAAAGATAACCGCATGTGGAAGTGGGTCGACGGGGTGTACACAACTTTCACATGGCAATATTGCATTTGCAAATGAGAAGGAAAGGAACATTACAGTAGTAAAATCGGACGGGTCACTTGACTTTAAGATCGATTTAAAACCGTACCGGCCTTTAGATATCACATATATTCCCTATACCAATACCATTGTTGTCACATCTAGAAGTTCAAATGACATTAAAATCGTTGATGTAAATGCAAGAGGAGTGCTTAAAACGTACTGTTTAGACGCACCATGTGCAGGTATAGCGTACACAGAAAAAAGAATTATTTTATGCTCCACAAATGAAGGAATACTTGAATTGAATCAACATGATGGATCAGTAAAGACCATTGTACCGGACAAACTGCACGATTATGCTCATGTTGCTCTCCTTGGAGATCAGATCTTCTACACAAATTCACTTACGAAATCAGTAATATGTTGTGATCTTCTTGGAAGAAAACAGTGGGTATTCCAATATCCAAAGCTATCCAGACTATTCGGTGTCGCTGTGGACATTGACGGACACGTGTTCGTCGCCGGCAATAGCTCTCACAATGTTGTTGTCATATCTCCAGACGGAAAACAACAAAAACAACTGTTATCTTCCAAGGATGGTGTTGATTGGCCTAATGGTTTGATCTATGATAGACATAAAAACCAGTTACTTGTTACAAATTATGATAAAGGTGCAGTTTTGTATAATGTTACATTGGTAGATTAACATTATACAGATAGTTATATTTCCAGTTTGAGAGTTGCGTAACCAAATTTATGTAGAAGCTGATAACAAATAATCATTCAAGTTTTCAAAATAAAGCTTTCACTTTCAAAAATTTAACTTGTATTACTTAGTGCTGTTTATGATACATTTAAAATAGATATCTGGGTTCAACTTCATTTGGAAGGCTCAAAACCCAATTGTTGGGAATTCAAAAGATAGATTTGAATTAAGGAAACTATCCTTTTATTTTATTTCAGATGAAGGACACCATTGAAAACAGTATGAAAACGCAACGTGTTAGTATATTATACACCCACTGGAATGAAAAACATAATCTAGGACCAAAAGATATACGTTATAGAAGCGATGATGATGAATAGAAACTAATTCTAGACCTACCGAAGCAAAACAAAATATATAGTTTGTCTAAAAAATTAAGCTGTGATTATTAAACAGAGTCAAAGATAAGCCTATGCCAAGGAAGAAGATAAGCAGGGACCCGCTAACCGAGGCTTCTAAATTTTGGACTTGGTCCCTAAAAGTTTGCTGAAAATGTCCATAATGCTTTAAATTTGTTAATCTTTCAAATTGTGGCAGGTTATCCCCTTTGATTGAAAATGTTTTTCTTTTCTCCTGCTTCACCTAGATTATTATCAAATAGTGTATCCTCTGAAAATTGGCGCAATAGCTATGTTTAACCACTTCTTTGCAATAATAGCACGAAAATATTTGGGGTCTACCGATATAATAATGTATTGGCTCTTATCATGTCTAAGGTTTTTGTCGAGCCTGCGACTTTTGTCGCAGAAAGCTCGACATAGGGATAGTGATCCGGCGGCGGCGTAAGATAAATTCTTAAAAGCTTTTTATTTTAGAAGGTGGAAGACCTGGATGCTTTACTTTGTATATAGATGCCTTATGTTACGAAGTTTCCGTCTGTCACATGTCTATTGTCCTTGACCTTATTTTCATGGTTCAGTGACTACTTGAAAAAAAAGTTGAGATTTTTTGTAATGTTAATTTCTCTCTTATTATGAGTAATATGATAATTTTATTTGGTATGTGCGTACCTTGCAAGGTCTTCGTGCCCGTCAGACAATTTTCACTTGACCTTGACCTCATTTTCATGGTTCAGTGGTTATAGTTAGGTTTTTGTGTTTTGGTCTGTTTTTCTTATACTTTATGCAATAGGTCTACTATATTTGGTGTATGGAATGATTGTAAGGTGTACATGTCCAACTGGCAGGTGTCATCTGACTTTGATTTCATTTTTATGTTTCTGTGGTCAAAGTAGAGTTTTTGAGTTTTGGTCTTTTTTCTAATACTATATGCAATAAGGCAACTATGTTTGGTGTATGGAAATATTTTATGATGTACATGTCAGTCTCGCAGGTTTCATTTGACCTTGACCTCATTTTTACGGTTCATTGTTCAGTGTTAAGTTTATGTGTTTCGGTCTGTTTTTCTTAAACTATAAGCAATAGGTCAACTATATTTGTTGTGTGGAGGGATTGTAAGCTGTTCATGTCTGCCTGGCATGGTTCATCTGACCTTGACCTCATTTTCACGATTCAGGACTGAATATGAAAAGAAAAGGAGATGCGGTATGATTCCCAATGAAAAACTATCCACCAGAGTGCAAATGACATGTATGTAGGCAACTATAGGTCACCATACGGCCTTCATCTTCGATCAAAACCTATGATGTATGGTCAGCTGTAAAAGGCCTGACATGACAAAACGTGAAACATTTCAAACAAGAAAACTAACGGCCTTATTTTTGACAAAGCAATTAGCGAAGAACAAATATGATAGATAGCAACCAACAACATCCACTGAAATACATGATCCTGACTTGATACAGACTCATAAATAGTGTGTCGGGGATAGACATGTTGTTAGCACTTAACCACCCCACTAACATGGGACAGTGGTGTAAAAGCACAACATAAGAACAATCTATGGCAAGCCGTTCTCGTCAAAAATATGTGTAAACCTTTTTTTCAGAAAAATTACACACTGAGAATTAAAAAAAAACACACTGAGATTTAAAAACCTAAAATAATACACTGAGAAATTGCAATTTCACACAGAGATTTTAAAATTACACACTGAGATTTAAAAAAATGAAAAACACTCTGAGAATTTAAAATTACACGCTGAGATTTTAAAAAGACACACTGAGATGAAATAAATTGACAAACACACACTGAGAATTCAAAAATACACACTGAGATTAATATGCACAATTTACTAATAAATATTCATGGGATGAATAATTCAACAGATTAATATATTGGTCTCCCGAACTCTCGTCATTATAATGAAATGCGGTTCCTTCAACCAATATTCGTAATAAATTACAAGATTTAACATCGTTTTTGCTAACTCATATTCATAAGTTTGTTGCCTATAATTCACGTTATTACTAACAGTGTATCGGGATGTTTTGCTTAAAACTGTTTAAGCATGGGTCCCTTTTCAAGAGTCTTTCAACTGTTACCCTGATTTCGCAAGGTAATCTTTTATATGTTTGTTACGTTTATATGTTACATTAGGGACTTGGGTAAAAATTTTGCTGCATTGCTTGTCTTTTTGCAAATTGTTCCAATGTTTTCTTATAATTTTAATAAAGTTTTTCACCATTTGGTTATATTTTGTAATGAGAGTAAGTGGGTAATTTTCTTCTTCTATTGGTCTTTGAACACGTAGTTTTTCTATACGTTGTATTTCTAAAGGAACTTCAATCAGCCATTTCATCGATTTGCATAAATCAATCAACCAAATCCATTCCATATGTACTAGTAATGTATATAAAAATAAAAAATCAAAAGTAAGAACGTAATTTTAGAATCTCACATCTTACACATATCAAGTACGACATTTACATAGAGACAATCTACTGAAATGTAAAAAATTAACAACGATAGAAAAAAAATCAATATTTATTACTTATTGAAGGGGCTACAATTAGAATGGTTTTGAAAATTAATGTGCTCTATAAATAGTATTCCAGATTAAACTTAACTATATAAAAGAATGAAAGTTCCAAATAGAATCACAATTTTCATAAAAACTTAATTAGGCACAGATACGGTATTTAAGGTACTGTGAACAGAATAATAAAAACAGAAAATTTACAGAAAGGAATAAAGATTGCTCAAACCCGAAAAGAGTACGGCGCGGAAAAAGAACAAAGATGTTAGGATATACATCTTATGTTTCTCACTGTTGCTATAAGATCACAAATACAGTATCTGGAGAGGTGTATGAAATACTTCATGAATAAGTAGCATTTTAACTAAGTTTTAAGAAACACGATACTCTTCTATGCTCTTATTATGAAAAAAAGGAACATCAGAAATAATAATAAACAAAAACAAAACAATAGACAAAAATCCCCAAAGAACAGAACTAGACAAAAATTGCAAAGAAGTTCGTGAGGAACACAATGATAATTCACGTTGCTCCGTTAGATTTGCTTGTCGTTTGTGTAAGAGCATAGAGCAACAAGCAGATCTAACGGAGCAAAGCGAAAGTTCTGTTTAATCAGATTGTGAGAAACCAGCACTATCTTTAGAAAATCAAAGTTGTCAATGCATTATCCTATTACCAATATTTGTACTTTTTGCCTTCCTTCAAACGGTAAGATTGAAATTATCTTAGGTGTCCGTAATTGATCGACCTCGGTGCCACATATCTCGGAAGAAAATCTGTTAATGAATACAGACAATATTAATTCGTTCAATTTACTAGTACCTAAAAGAACGAGAGACACAGAGTATAAAACAGTTTTGTTCATTTGTTTTTGATAATGAACTTTCAAAAAGTACTTTGAAACAAGATGTTGTACTAGGACAAGGTTAGGTAACACAATTATGATGTGCAGTGAGGACCGCCTTTTTACGTTTGGTGACGATGCTGTCAGATTTAAATGGACTTAGCTTATGTCGTAACCGTTACCAGTGCTTGGAATTGATATTTCGTCAGTTTTAAGCATTTAAAGCATTTTAGTGGCTTATACAAAGCGGGTGAAGTATCCCTACACTTCTATCATTTATTGTCTCACAAATGGGGTTATATAAGAGTAATAAACCTAGTATATATAAATAGGAAGATGTGGTATGAGTGCCAATGAGACAACTCTCCATCCAAGTCACAGTGTATAAAAAGTTGACAATAAACCTAGTATGTTAACCAGGCACAACTAACGTACAAGTACATTATTACGGGTAACTAATAAGCAATATACAGTACATGCGGCATTTAAATTATACGTATTACACAACTATTTTCTTCAATGCGTATACCACATATGGTCGAAGGGATGTAACTCTCGTTTTAAATACACGTATGATTTATTTCAATTAAACGGCTGACATTCTTCTTCTTGAATTACAGACAGGGTTATGTTTTTCTCATACATTTTATGATGGTATGATACAAAACCCCTAACGGGAGGGATTGTACTTGATTTTCATATGATGAAGACATAATATTTCAATCAGTTAAATTGAGGTTTGGAGCTGGCACGTCAGTAACTGCTAGTAGTCCTTTGTTCATTTATGTAGCATTGTCATTTTGCTAAGTTTGTTTTGTTTCCTATTCTGACATCGGACTCGGACTTTTTTAAACTGAGTTTTACTGTGCGTATTGCTATGTGTTTCTTTTTTCTACATTGACTAGAGGTGTAGGGGGAGGGTTGAGATCTCACAAAACATGTTTAACTGAGACTCCGCCGCATTTTTGCGCCTATCCCAAGTCAGGAGCTCTGGCCTTTGTTAGTCTTGTATGTTTTTTAATTTTAGTTCATTTATATGTTTTGTAGTTTAGTGTGACGTCCATTTTCACTGAACTAGCACACAATTTTATTTAGGGGCCAGCTGAGGACCACCTCCGGGTGTGGGATTTTCTCAAAATACATAAGTATATTTTTAATTTCCTATCGCTACAACCATGACAACGCAGTACATTCTATCGGTTTCCTAATGTTGTTGTCTGTCCACTTTGCCACCTTTTTACACTGAGTCCTACCCATAAATTTCGGTTACAAAATGGATCTGGAGTTACAATGTATAAGACTATGTGTTAGAGCGAAGTTAGGCGAATGAAATTCAACATGTTTATTGTAATTCCACATGTTCCAATGAAAATACTGCACAGGAAAAGAAGCGATATGATGTTATTATATATAAGACAAATAATTTCATAAAACACTTAGAAATACAAAATATGCAGTCGATATATCAGAGGAACAACGCCTTTATAGCTGTTCTTGATCTTAACAATAGTTTTAAGGTATTAGTGATAAACCATAAATCTCTTTCATGTTTACATTAAAGTGAAGACGGTATAAGCTCAACATATAAACGCGCTGCACTCTAATGAATTCACCAATGAACGTTTTGTATGTCTTTAACGGAAAGTAATTATATTTGATAACAAAATGTACATAAAATAATGCACAATGAAAGTCAATACAGAAAAAGCACTAACAGCTATGGTACCGTATACTAACAGATAACAACAATACTTTCTTTTTCAAGGTATAGATATAGGAAGATGTGGTATGAGTGCCAATGAGACAACTCTCCATCCAAGTAACTATTTATAAAAGTAAACCATTATAGGTCAAGGTACGGCCTTCAACACGGAGCATTGGCTCACACCGAACAGCAAGCTATAAAGGGCCCCAAAAATTACTAGTGTAAAACCATTCAAACGGGAAAACCAACGGTCTAATCTAAGACTACTAGTATACAAAACGAGAAACGAGAAACACGTATGAACTACATAAACAGACGACAACTACTGTACATCAGATGACCACTTATGCTGTGATGGTGCTTTTATACGTGGGCCCGAGTTTTATCACAAGGTGTGTTCTTTAATAATAATTACTTGACAGTTATGTAGTTATTATTCATTTTCGGCAAATTTGTGGTTTTGAAAATTCATTTCTGTAGTCAATGTTTTCATTGCCTCTTATCAACCTTATTTTGTTTTCTGCTCTAGTTTTCCTGCCGAAGTTCGTGTTTCTCTCCGGTCACTCCGGCTTCCTATAACAATAAAAACTGGCCGCCATGCACGATATAACCAATAGTATTGAAAGTGGCGTTAAACACCAACAATCAATCAATTATATTTTTGTTTATTATGTTTTCCTGCAAAACTTTAGATGTCGATACAAAATCCTCTGAGTTGCGACGAATGTTACAATTTATAAAGTGACGGTACTAGTTTTTTTATACAATTTATTATATATATATATAAAAAAAACATCCGTCTTCACTTTACTTAACATAGATGAGTATATGTATGTGATAGCCTCTTTATTTTGTGTATATTTTAATTGTAAAATAAAGATTGTATAATTTATGCAAATGTTAAATAGAACTATAAAACATATTGTCTTTTCTAAAATTTGATTACATTGAAACGTTTCCATACATTATTGACGTATATTGTACTTATTATGTGTGATACTATATAATTGTTCTGTAAAATTATTGTAACTTTATCATTGTTTTTACAGGGTGTGTTACGTTACTGATAAATAAATATCCGGAATCGTAGCAAAGCAACTTGAGTTTTATTTGAAGCCCAAACGTCAGCTATAACATATATTTATGTTTTTTTTTCAATCTCACAAAAAATGAAGCTTCTGTATGTTGTACATTAATGTTTAGGTGGTGAGAGTTCATAAAAAGGGAGGCTATATACAAAAGTATTACACACCCCACTTTTCAGACAAAAAGAAATTGAAAATAAATGTCAGTTTAAACTTAATATACAAAAATTGACATTAATTTGAAATCCTGAAAATAAAAAAAATGTATGGTAGGTAACTATTACCCCCTTTTGACTTAACTTTGTCTTTACAAAAAAATGCATGCCTCCACGTGCTTGCTTCACAACTTTGGACGACCGCCCTCTAACCCCACACGCCACGAGCGTTACAATTACCTAAAACATACACTTGTAAAGTGTATTATGTGTTGTCGTTATATAAGTATTTGGACTTTGTAAACCGATAATATAAGTTAAAATCAGAAAATAACATCAAATCCAGTATAATCCAGTCATTATTATGAAATAAGTATAAAGTTTAATTTGATAACCGAGATGAGATATAGATGAAGTTCGTTGTCTTTTTATTGTTTGGTATTAATCTTTGATATCGCTAAATTCTGACCAGTCTTTGTTTATTACGTTATACATTTTGACGCATTCTTCGCCTATCAAAACATTGTGCTGGGACTTTCATGGACACAGAAAGCTTTAACATTCAGTAAGTATCATTAATTAATTAATAAATTAACTGATTAATTAATTAATTAATTAATTATTCATTCATCCATTCATTCTTCTGTTCGTTCGTTTGCTTTAAATAGATTATTTCATTCGATCGTTCGTTCGTTCGTTCGTCCATTCCTTCCTTCCTTCCTTCCTTCCTTCCTTTCATTCATTCATTCATTCATTCATTCATTCATTCATTCATTCATTCATTCATTCATTCATTCATTCATTCATTCATTCATTCATTCATCCGATAAATAACCATGTTTGTAAAAATAAGGAAATGTGATATAATTGTTATTTAGACCACTATATCAACCCGAAACCAAATAATTAGGATTAGTAATCATGTAAACAACTTTAGGGTACTGTACGACCTTCAACTGATAATGAGCAAACCCAATGCAATATTGTATACTATATTTAGTTATAAAATTCACCAGAATAACAAAAGGAAAATAACCTAGTATATTCATTTGCAATTTTCGTCATCACTATTTCCCAAATATTGCTTTTGGGCGTTTCAGGTATTTCAAGTTAATCCAGAAAAGTTCTTCGGACTCATAATATATAAACACATTTGTTTTCATTTACTTCTTTTTTAGAAGTGGCAAAATGAGCACGGGAACGACCTACATGCAACAAGGATTGCTTCATCAAATGTTTTTCAGGCAGGCAAAGGCGACCCCAGAAAAGGTTGCTGTTGTTGAAGAAAGCGGTAAAGAAATAAAATTCAGAAATCTGGATGAAAATTCTGACGCACTTGGAAAGCATTTAGTTTACAATGGCGTAACCCCCAATGCGTGTGTGGGAATTTATTTGGATAAAAACATTGAATATACAACTGCATATATTGCTATTTTAAGGGCGGGTTAGTATTTTTCACTTTTTTCTTATGTCATTGAAACACTTCCCCGGCAAGGATACCTTTTACTATGTACACGGAATCTATTGGTCAGTTTATACATTTTCCGTATTAGTTTCAAAATAGTGTAACGTTTTCAGAACGGCACTCTTTCAAATTTCTTAAATACATTGGTATTGGTAAGCACAAAAGCACTGGGCCACTTTAAAGGATCCGAACAGGGATCCATGCAATCATTGAAAGCAGTCTTTCAATAATAATAAACAAAAACAAAAACAAAAACAAAAACAATTATCAATTCTTTGATATCTTTAAATATGTTGTTTTCTACAGTAATGTTTATAAAAAATCACAGAAAATGTTGGAATGTACAGTATTCTGGGGAGGGGTTTTTGTTTCGGAATTTGATGCTCTACTGATCCTAAATTGTCTGGTTATTAGTTTTGATGTTTCCGGTTGCAGAGAAATATATATCTTCATTGGCTTGCGTAGGACTAATATTGTAGCATTTCCAGAGGCGTATTTAGGGGGGTGGGGGTGGGGGTGGGGGCTTTTGTGGGAAAAATTTGGTTAATTATATAGGGAATCACTGAAGCATGACTGGAGCGGGCCCATTCTTATGCAGTCAGTGGGCCCCCCAGGAACATATATATTGATATACTGTTCCCAGGGCCCCTTATGGAAATTTATGTGGCTCTTTTCAAAAAAAAATATCTTAAGAGTAAAAATACTCGTAAGTCATACACATTTCAGTTTAACTTACGAAAAGAGTAGCCGGATCCGCCACTGATTTTACGCTTAATTAATCCACGCTTAGGACATTGCAAAAACATGTGCAGTATTATAGGTTAAAAAGCTTGACTAACAGTAGCATTTTACAGCTAATCCACTGTCAGGTAGTTGAGAATGTATATATTTATGATGTGATTTTTTAGCTCACCTGGCCCACAGGGCCAAGTGAGCTTTTCTCATCACTTGGCATCCGTCGTCCGTCGTCGTCGTTAACTTTTTTTACATTTTGAACCTCTTCTAGAGAACCACTGAATGGAATGAAACCAAACATGGCATGAATGTTCCTAATATGAGGTGCTGACTTAGTGTTGTTACTTTGTAGCCGATCCATCATCCAAGATGGCCGCCAGCGGGGGACTTAGTTTAACATAGGACCCTATGGGAAATACATATAAATGTCTTCTTTTAGAAATCCATGTGAATGGAATGAAACCAAACATGGCAGGAATGTTCCTTATGAGGTGCTGACCAAGTGTTGTTACTTTGCAGTCAGTCCATCATCCAAGATGGCCGCCAGCAGGGGACTTAGTTTAACATAGGACCCTATGGGAAATACATACAAATGTCTTCTTTTAGAGAACCACTGAATGGAATGAAAAAAAAACATGGCATGAATGTTCCTTATGAGGTGCTGACCAAGTGTTGTTACTTTGCAGTCTGTCCATAATCCAAGATGGCCGTCAGGGGGGGACTTAGTTTAACATAGGACCCTTTGAGAAATACATACAAATAAAATTGAGAATGGAAATGGTGAATGTGTCAAAGAGACAACAACCCGACCATAGACATGATAGAGCAGACATTTTGTCAGCTTTTTCCCGTTTTATCCATTTCAAACAATAAGCACGAAGTGAGTTGTTGATGATATTACGACACTCATTTCAATTAATAATTGACGGGGGACGATATTTAGGTCCTTTACTGAGGAATGATTTTAACTCTCGGTCGTGAACGATGTTAAGGTCTCCTGTTATAACATGAGAAATGGGGCCATTAGTGTATTCTGAATTACTACAATTACAGGACATAGGTGTATTTTCACTGATACTTACATCTTTACAGACTTGGCTATAAATAAACACAAATTTCCGGGTAGATTTCTTGTAAATATAACAAATAAGAGGGAGTTCAGAATTATCAAAATATCCAGGAATTTGTTCTTTAACAGAATGGTCGTTAAAAAATGTCTTCTTTTAGAGAACCACTGAACAGAATGAAACAAAACATGGCATGATTGTTCCTTATGAGGTGCTGACCAAGTGTTGTTACTTTGCAGTCAGTCCATCATCCAAGATGGCCGACAGCGGGGGACTTAGTTTAACATAGGAACCTAAGGGAAATACATACAAATGTCTTTTTTTAGAGTCCACTGAATGGAATGAAACAAAACATGGCATTAATGTTCCTTATGAGGTGCTGACCAAGTTTTGTTACTTTGCAGTCAGTCCATCATCCAAGATGGCCGCCAGCGGGGGACTTAGTTTAACATAGGACCCTACATGTATGAGAAATACATACAAATATCTTCCTTTAGAGAACCACTGAATGGAACAAAACCAAACATGGCATGAATGTTCCTTATGAGGTGCTGACCAAGTGTTGCTACTTTGTTGCCGATTTACTGTTCAAGATGGCCACTCAGGATATTTGATTAAATAACGGGACCAATATTATTCCAAATTTGGCCTCAATCATTATTAAAATTGAGAATGGAAATAGGGAATGTGTCAAAGAGACAACAACCCGACCATAGACCAGGCAACAGCTGAAGGCCACCATGTTATGATTTTTATCTATCTTTACATGATTTCTAAAACCAAAGTAGAGTCAGGTGAGCGACACAGGCTCTTGAGAGCCTCTAGTTCATGCTGCGGACAACCCACCAAAAAGGGAACAATTCCACATATGAGGAACAATCCCACAATTGAGGAATTATTTAATTCATAGTGCTAAAAACTAAATTTTTCTAAGCTGAGTCTTTTTACTTAAAATGGCACAAATTGATAGAAAATGGAACAGCTTCATATTTTTATTTTGGGTTTTAAAAAAAACTAATAGCCTTGAATTTTTGAACTTGAAAGTTTCATTGGCTTTTAACTTTTTTTTGTAAATCAGATTAGGGCTATTCATCTTTTTGCCATTTCAAGAATAAATAAATTTTTAACACTAGAAAAGTATATCTCGTAGGATGGATAGTTACTCATTTGGGGAGTGGTTAATCCCAACCTGTTTTCGGTGAAAATTATACAGAGTGCATCAACACTCAGGACATTAAAAAAACCTCCAGGAGTAATCCATGTTAAGGACCTTTAGAAATATGCCTTGTTTCATTAAAGACTAATTCCCTTGGGGACCACAGAGGCCATGAACCCCTGAAGAATACGTTCATCATACTTGATACATTTACAAAACATATTTTTCGCAGTGTATTTATTTTCACAAAATTACTGAACAGCATGCCTGCTTTGGGCTATGGTTTATAGATGGTTTACCATACTTCCTATGCTTTACATTTTGCATTCACATAAATACATGCTCATATTGTCACAAATCAATCATAACACAAAAATTGGCAAACACTTGTTTAAAAAATCTTTTAGAAATTCTTAAAAAATATTTTAATAAATAAATTTGTTGTGCTTAACTATTATCGTAAGGTAAATATAGGCTTCTCTTTCAGACATTAATGAAGTCAGTGACCGTGGAGATATAAAAAGTTTTTTGATTATCTGCTATTGATTCAGGCTCCAATTCCTAGACCAAAAGACCAGCAGTGGAGGATACAGGCTAGGGGGAAGGGGGGATTCTGGAGGTTGGAATCCCTCCTTTTTTTTGGACGATCAATGCTTTTGAATGGGGACATATGGTTGCAGCCCCCCTTTTAAAAATGGCTGGATCCGCCCCTGACCACTTTCGAGTGATGTCTTTCACCGGAAAAGTTCAATTATCAATTATAAGAATTTAATTTGCCGAATAATTTGTGCAGTACCGCATTATATTTCTTCAACCGCTCGCTCAACATGGGAAAGAAGTGATGATGCCACTAAACGCACGAATGATGTTCACTAAAACCAAAGTTTTTGACGGAAATGCAACAAACTCGAAAGTGGTCTATTTGTTCTATTTTTTGTCATTGAAAAAGTTTTTAAAACTTTCATACAGTTCATATACAAAAGCATGTACCCTTTCTTTGCTTTAAATCAGATTTATGGTTTTCCATTTATCTTGTTTATGTTATATACATGTACATAAACAAGATAAAAAAACATGTTGATCAGTTTTCTGCTTTAAAACTGATCTTGAATGTTTTCAAAAACTTCATGTCAGTTGTTTTTAATGTCGCTCATCAGTACAAATATTTCTAATCTGAACAGGCGCTGCTTATCTGCCCCTGGATGTTGCATACCCACAGTCTATGTTAAAATCAGTACTAGAAGATGCCAAACCAAAGGCTGTTATAACTGTCAAAGATTTAGCGCACAATTTAGCTGGTAAGTCCAAGATGTTTAGTCAAGTTCTAAGAGTGGAAGATTTTGCATTCAACATATGTTCAATCTAAATGTAGTAATGAACAGAATCGTCACTGTCTAGAATTAATGTTACTGACTAACAGTCTTATTCACTTTTATTTTATAGTGGCTACCAATTATTTGTTAATTGAGGAAATATTGCATTTTTCAAATGCGAATCCAGGTTTTTGAAAAAGGTTACACAGCCTATGTATAATGTTGTCAGTTGTACTGCAGGAAAACCTTTTAAAACTCTTGCAGACTAAGCACTATGAAATCCAAGTTTTTAAATACAAGATAATATACTGTAGATATACATGTACCTGCAAAATATTATTAAGCACATACATGTAGTCTAGCTGGTTGCTTATATCAGATATAATGCAGTTACAACTATAAAATATTTAGCACAAAAATAATTAGTACATTTCAGCAGATGTACTGCTTATGTAACATGAAATTATTAAAAACATACCAAATTTGCTGGGCCTATTACGGTTTATGAGTAAAGCATGCAATTAAAGTTTTAAAATCATTTTAAAATGTTCAGATATTTTGTCATTTTGTTACATAAAAATATGTAGGCCGCCTACACTCTGGAACAGTTTACCATCGTCCTTGCGGAGTGTGAATTCTTTAGATGTTTTTAAAAAATAACTAAAGACTCACTTCTTTCAAACTGCTTTCAAGGATTTCTTGTAGATTTTATATACTTTTAATTGACTGCATTAATTTTAGAGTGTTTTTGTAAATTTTACAGAAGCCATCACCAGTTGGTTGGCCGTTATCAGAATATCTGTTTCACATATGATAGTGGATATGTTTCAAATGTCGTAACTACAATCCCTGAATATGACCTACCGAATTAGACTTATTGCCGGGTTTGTACTAACATGAGCAACACGACGGGTGCCACATGTGGAGCAGGATCTGCTTACACTTCCAGAGCACCTAAGAGCACCCCCAGTTTTTGGTGGGTTTCCTGTTGCTCAGTCTTTAGTTTTCTATGTTGTGTTTTGTGTACTATTGTTTGTCTGTTGGTCTTTTTCTTTTTTAACTATGGCGTTGTCATTTTATCTTCGACTTAATATGAGTTTGAATGTCCCTTCAGTATCTTTTGCCTCTCTTTTAGGGTACATGCATTTTTTTTTTTATTAATTTTTATCTGCTTGTTTGATTCGTATTAGTTGGTGCTTTTGTATTTCATATTTTATGTATTTTATTTATATTTGAAATGTGAAGCGCTTGAGTTATTGTCGTTATTATATAATGCGCTCTATAAATATTGTATTTATTATTTATAATTATAAAAGCCACCAACTGTTGATCTATATTTGACATCCAACAAATATAACAAGAAGTATTTAAGTTACAAATTGTGTTGAGCCTTTCCCTGCCTAACACAATAAAAATAAGAAGATATGGTATGATTGCCAATGAGACAACTCTCCACAAGAGACCAAATGACATAGAAGTTAACAATTATAGTTTACTGAACAGCCTTCAACAATGAGCAAAACCCATACCACATAGTCAGCTATAAAAGGCCCAGAAATGATGAATGTAAAACAATTAAAACTAGAAAACTAATGGCCTAATTTATGTACAAAATTATTAATGAATGAAAAACAAATATGATATACTGTGTGAGCAACAAACAACTAGTTTTTTTTTGGCAAAGCATTATAAAATTGCAGTTCTCTCCCATATACATAAGGTAATGAAAAATAGTGAATTAAAATAAATCCTCCCCTTTACCTACACTATTTTGTCTAAGGACTATATGTATACGTGGGTGTACTTAACTACTGGGTTTTGAACAATTTTGACTACACATAATGGGTCTCACATGGTTGGTTAAGGAAGATATAATAACACACTTTTTTGATTGGCCTATTCATCAGTTGAAATCCAACATTAGCATTAAAAAAAGACACATTGAAAAAGAGCAAAATGTTAACTTTTATAGGTGAAATGCGGTGTTTTTTAACGTTTTTTTTTTTGTATTTAGGATATGACAATATTATCGTACTGGAAGAAGAATGGGAGAAAAATATTGTGACAGGGGAGGCAACTCTTCCTACAGAATTGACTCTAGACAATTTGGCTTATATTGTTTACTCATCTGGAACCACAGGAAAACCAAAAGGTAAATATTTTCTCTGTTTAATTACCTATATTGATATTTCTTTGCCTGTCTGGCAAATCACTGTTGTGTTAATCTCAATGTAATCTGTTAGCTCGCTCTTCGATTCACTATTTAAAAAGGTTTCATTTGACAAGATTGAGAACAGCAAAAATAGGGCTGTTTCTTTGATATTGATTATAATTGGTAACTCGATCATCATGCTCATGAGCTTTTAAAGTTGGCTCTTAAATTGCATTCACTTCTTATCCATATAACTTTTGTAAAGTTCATGCTGTTTAAAGGTATCCTCAAACCATGTGTAAATCGCAACGGGGTGTTATATGCAAGCAACAGACAATCAATCAAACCTTGTGCAGTTAGCATATTTTGTATAGTTATAGTTCTAAAAGTTTTCATGAATATTATTGAAATAGATAGACAGGGTGCACATAAAGCTTGGCATTCCAAGGCTGTTGTTCATATTGAAAAAGTATTTTGTTAACACATATTTATAGACCTGACCAAAAAGAGGACTGCAATGAAAATTATATCATTAATGTGTTTATCTTTAAAATATACTAGAACATTCCCTTTAATTCAGCCATTTTAAAAACTTTATGAAATGCATAATCATGTATTTTATGGATCAACCGTAAAGAAATCTTATAGTACATTTTAATTACAGCATCTGTAGTTGACAGATATGAACAAACTAAATGTTACATTTTTCCTCGTGGCTGTTGTTATGTAAAAGAATAACTTCATGTTCTAAATTCCCCGTTTTTGAATAAAATATTCTCTGAGAAGTAATTTCAAGAATAAGTTATATTGAACAAAGAAAAATTATCAATTTGTTCCAAATAAACAGGTAGTCCTTGCTGTTCAAAAGATGGAAGAAATTTTGGGAGTTTGAATATTTATAATTTTTTAAATGTTTTAGTACTTTTAAAATTAACAACATTACAAGAGAAAGAAATAACCTGTCTCTTAATGCACTGTAAGTGTGAAATTTTCACAGGCTAATTGTTATAATTTCACAATTTTAATGCATAAACTTTTATGGCAGGGGATAGATTTTTGCAATGGAAGATGCATTTTCCCTTTAAAGATACATCAGAACTTCATATCAATATTTTTTAAAAAACAATTTGCAATGGAGGAAATTTTCATGCATTTGATGTAAACGTGAAATAAGTGAGAATAATCCTTGAATATGCAAACATTTCCACGTTTACTGTATTAATTGATTTAATATTTTGCAGGAGTGATATGTCCACACAGAGGAGCAGTATTTTCATACCACTGGAGACATGAAGCTTATCCTTTTCAAGAAGGAGAAAGAGTGGCCTGTAACATATTTTTCTCATGGGAAATGCTCAGACCATTACTAAAAGGTATTTGTGATACTTGTTTGTACATCCGTTTCTATCTTTAAGTTATTAAAAATGACTAAGCTTTAATTTTGAAAAGTGCAAAAGGCTGATGACCTCTAGGGGCCTTAGTGCCTAAATGGTCTAAGTAGTTCATCTACTGTATCACTCGCTTGTCAACACTGAGGTTGTAAGTTCAATCTCGGCACGTGACAGGTGCGTTCAACTCAAATCTTAATTCAAAGATATATAAGATAAGAACTTTATATCAATATTTTTTAAAAAACAATTCGCAATGGAGAAAATTTTCATGCATTTGAAGTGAACGCAAAATACTGGTTTGCCAGTTTTCATGTCGAAGGTCAGTGGTTGAGACTCTCTCCCAGCACTTCAGCTTCCTCCACCAATAAAAACTGGTCGCTGTGAAATAGCCAATATTGCTGAAAGTGGTGTTAAACACCAAAAATCAATCATATGACCTCTAAAAGTTTGCTTTATATTGTGTCATGTGGCTTATGGAGATAATGCACTACTGTAAATTCAGAAATTATTGCGATGTTTTTATTAATGCGAATAATGCGACTGTGTGAGTATCGCAATAATAAGAACTCACATTCTGATATCTGATGCACATATCTGTATGCAGCTTTTTCTGAAATCGCAATAATTAATCTCGCATTTATGTCCATTCTTCAAAAATCGCAATAATAAATGCACGCAATAATTTCTGAATTTACAGTAATATATGTGACTATTGTCTTGAGTAGAATATTGGATCGCACATGCCTGCATCAGACACTAAAATGGGACTATATTTTGACTGCTTTTAAAAAAAATATATGGAAAGTGTGTATTTACTAAGTAAGCAAGTTAATATATATTTAAATATATGTTTGATTCGCCTAAATATATATACATACTGCACAGAAAGATTTAAAACTTAAAACCAAATACATCTATTAGCAAAGACTAATCATCTTTTTATTAACTCACCAGGCCCGTAGGGCCATGTGAGATTTTCTCATGCATCACTTGGCGTCCGTCATCCGTCGTCCTCGTCCTTTGTCTGTAGTCTCATCTGAAACTACTGGGCCACAAATTTATCCAAACTTGGCCAAAATCATCATTTGGGTATCTAGTTTAAAAAATGTGTCCGATGACCCCGCCTGCCAACCAAGATGGCCGACATGGATAAAAATAGAACATAGGGGTAAAATGCAAGTTTTGTCTATTATTTTGAAATCAGTTATAAATAGAGAAAATCTGACATGGGCAAAAATGTTTAGAATGTTGAGCTCTACCAATTGTGCATAGACGTCAAAACTGTCAGACGACTTTTTATAGGATTATAGGAGTTACTGCCCTCAAATGACAAATTTTACCATTTTTTTTCATTTTTGCCTATTATCTTGAAAACTATATTAGATAGGGAGAAACTTTACATTGAAGAAATGATCAGCAAAACAAGTTCTACAAATAATTCAAATGATCGAAATCGTCAGTTGACTCCTTATTAGAGTTATTGCCCTTTGATGACGATTTTTACCAATTTTTTGCGTTTTTGCCTTATATATCTTAAAAATTATAACTCGCCGTAAGCAAACAATATGGGAAAAGGTTACATTTTTACCTACGAAATGTATGAAAAGGTATACATTTTTAAGATCTAAATTATATGAAAAGGGTGGGGTAACAGAACCCCAGCGGCACTCCCTATCAATTAAGTATTGAAGTAGCCCCCCCCCCCTGGAGAAAGTTTTGCAAGTCACTTGTTCAGCTTAAACTGTTTCACTGGAGCAATTTGTCATTTCAACATTTTATGACTGCTTAATTATAAAACGGCGACAAATATCACAGTTAAGAATCAATAACTTGGAAGAAATTTGTTAACAGATGAATGGGTTTTGCTGTTATTCTATATTTTATTTTTAGGAGTAACCATGTACATCATATCTAACACAACAATCTATGATCCACCTCTATTGAGTCAGTACATACAGAACAATAAGATCACACAAATCCTGTTCACACCATCACTATTAGAAGCTGTACTCAATACTCCAGGACTGGACCTTCAACAACTCAAAAGTTTGAGGTAAGATAATAATACGTTTGCTACTGTGATTACTGAGTCAGGGTTACACCCGAAACCAAACAAATGTTCCCCGGTTTTCTTGGAAATGAAATGAGCACTTTACAAATTACGTGCTTCTGAAGTGCTTATCTGGTTTTACCTTCATAAGAACTCTCAAACTTAAGCATTTGGAAGCCTGAGATGTGTAAATACGCTGTTAGGAGCTATATGACCAGAAAAAGACCAAAACAGGATAGCCACATTCATCTAAGGTCAACAGTAGCTGCTTTGCCTGAGGTAGTGGAGTAGTTTATTCAATTTAGATTTTTGAAGTAAAGCAAAAAAAGGTAAACCCTCTCTCTCATTTGTTTTCTAAGAATTTCACTCATTAAATACACTTGATTCCAATCATAATTTCCGTATTGCTGCTATAAGATGAATGCAATAAATGTATAAAAAAATAGTATTTTTCTGTATGTAGGGTTGTCCAAAGACTTTCTTTAAAAAAGAAAATCCTTTCTTTTATTAAAATCTTTAGAAAATGTACTGCTATTGAAATATTGTCTTGCTATCACAGTGCAAGTGGGAAGGGAAAAAAACCGTGATGAATGAAAAAGTAAACAAAAGTGGAAAAAAATAAAGCATTAACTTATTCTGAAAGGAATCTTTAAAATACACCAAATTTTTAAACAATTGTTATGAACCCACAGAAAATATATAAAAAAAAACAATTAATGATGGCTCTACTAAGTAGTTTATCACTTTTCAAATTTTATGGAGGCATACGTGATATGAGGTAATGGCTGATGAATACTGACAAGATATTTGGATTTTTACCACATACCCCCTTAAGTTGTCCGACAGTGCTTTTTAAAAATCTTAACACACACAAGTGCATTGTTAAGAAAATAATTATAATTATTGTACCTCAGGTAAATTAGTGACAATGTGATTGGTTTAACACCATCAGGTGGTGACCCCTATGGAGTAGATTTCATAGGGATATCATGACGTCACTTCTACTATTATCGTTCTTTATTTTTATATCAAACTTGACAGGAAAAGTCCTGTGTGCCATAAATTTGTTATACAGCTTTTCTACTAACCGCCTAAGAATCGATAGAGAGTAAGTAGAATCCATAGGGGATTTGTCCTTCGACCTCACTCCCTGTTGATTTTACTATACCTCTATTGTTCGGCCTCGGCTAATATTGACTTAAGTGTACCCTCAATGGATCTGTTGGTGGTTCTTATTAGAGCACTTTTTACATCGCGATGACCTTGAGGTCATCCCGATGTATTGCTATCGCCTAGATTTCCATTATGTAAATTAGTTTTGGGTTTGTAACCAATCTATAAACATGATAAATACGCGCTCATAAACGAGTGCAAGATAACATTCCTTATCGTTTGATATAAATACATCTCTTCAATGAATACTGATAAAAATATTTTTGTTTACAACATAAATTAATAATATGAAAATGTTTTGTAGTTAGATATATATATATAAGTAAAAAATCATTGATAATATCAATGCACACGTACCGAAAAATTGTGTTAAAGCATGCGGAAGAATATCTCAAAGAACGTTTTGTGAAAATACCGTCAAGGACCGGTAACTCTGTAATTGATTTTGCGGGAAAATATGAATGCCTACTCGTATCCAATCTTAGAAAAATCGAATTTTTACAGAAAAGTGTCCACCATGCACTTGCATTGCAATATTTTTAGAATAGTAGAATAGAATGATATACAAATGGATTCAAATCATATATATATGTAACTGTTATTTTAATATAATATAAACAACAACTCAGTGTATACTGATTTGTATCACTACAATATAATAGTTATTACGGTGAAGTTGAATTTCCTGTCATTTATTCATCATCCACGCACGAACTTGTCTCAGAAAAAAATATATCTCTGTACATTAACCTCAGTTTTAGGTAAAGAGATATGTTGGTTTTTTCTGAGACAAGTGCTTTTGACCATCCTCAAGAACTTGTGGTCATCCGATGTTCAGTACTTCAGTACTTTGATTTACTTGGTTATTGACATGCAATTTTATGCATGCTTAATTAATAAATATATATCTCAATTAATACGATATTCAAGAGCTTGGAAGTAGACATTAAAAATAAAGTTTTATATCTTATTTAAAATTCAAATCATTAAAGGTAAAAAATTTAAAGAATTTTTGCAATATTATTTGCATCTTTTCAAAATGAAGAAAAATAAACAACTTTTATAAAAACATTTTATTTGCACAATTCTTTTTACATTTAAAATATGATAAAAATGAAGACAAAACCATTTAGACAGAAAATTAAAGGAGGCAAGAATTAAAGGGAAAGAACTAGATTTAAAACTTTATATCTTTTCTACTTACAGGTAAATTTCTACTTGCTATAATTATCTCCCCATTAAAATGTATTGATTTTTATATCAAATATAAACATTTATATTATATAAATATACTGACGCAAATTGTTGCTTTTATTAGATGAGCCTTTCATCTTTCCAGAACATTTTTTAATATAATTCTTTTAGAATGCATCTTCAAGATCCAAAATTATTTGCACCAAAATCTATTCTGACATTGACAATTTGTTTTTAATTACAGAAATTTATAAAATAATTTGGTATTACTAATTCATATTTAAAAGATATAACATAGAAAAAAATCTTAAATTATTAGGCTGCAAATTAATTCTTAATGATCACAAAAACAGAATCTTTATTTATATATATCGATATATATATGATCATATATTTGCATATGAGGGGACGTCGGTGACAACATTAAAATTCTCAATTTTTAGTTACAAGTTTAATAGAAAAATGACAAAAATATAGACAGTTTGAAAAAAATTGCAAAATGATTGATATTTTCCCTTATTTCTTGAATGATAATACAGTAACCAATATGATTTCAAGTTGGTTTGTACACTGACAATTATTAATCTAGTAATCCTCGAGAGTAATCTAGCTCATCTGTTTATATTTGATTTAGATAAAATCTGTGATAAGATTATCACTCTAGGAAGGCATAACTTAATTTTGTTCAATTTTGTTAAAAGAATTGAACTTAAGATAAAAGCCTTTTCAATTGTTTTGTCAATGTATTTAGAAGAAAAAAAAAATTCCAACAATTCTGAGAGATTTTGTGACTTGATATAAAGAGTATAAAAATTGATAAAGTATGATTTAATAATATGATAAAGTATGATTTAATAATTTGTTCATGAACTTAATTTGATCTTTAAAAAATAGTTAAGGCAAAATAAACTAGAAAAAAAAAACTGTGGATTTCATACCCAGACTGCCTTTAATTATTAGCTTAAATATGCAAAAAAAGTCCATGTTTTGCTTAGGGTCTATAGTATACTTCTGATTAAGGCTTATGAAATACAGTCACGTGTTTCTGCTTACCATATCCCCTAATTTTTAGTGCCCACTATAAAGATGTTGTGTAGTTATTGTAATAAAGCAATATTAAAAAGTACTACTTTTTCCTCCTGTTCAAATCAGTTAAAAAAAAATTGAAAAAACTAAGCCTACCTTTTACTATAGACATACAATGTCAAGATCTAAATTGCCCTGAGTCTATAAAAGATCTGAATTAATTTAGCAGACACAATACAAAAAAATGCCAAAAGTATAGTATAAGTCTTCAAGTAGTAAGAACGATGTAGAACATACAGTTATAAGTATTTATTTAAGTTATGTTTTTGAAATTTGTCTGAAATATTTGCTTATTAGAACTTTATTAACCTTTGATGATATTAATCATTTAGGGATGAAAATAAGTTTGAAATTTGTGCTACAATTTAAATAGCAATCAATGTATTAATTTAAGTTGCAGTATAAAAACAATATTAGGTCAATGTCAGAAAAATATAAACTTTTTTGTATTTGGCACAAAACTTGGGAGGGGCTTGGTACAGCCTCGCCCTTCCCCAGTTTCTCAGCCTCATACAAAAAAGTTCATATTTTTCTGACATTGACCTAATATTGTATATATATATATATATGAATGAGGGGTGTTTTTCAAACCCCCAACTGGAAGTCTGTACCCAAATTTGTAGGTTGAGACCCCCCTTGCGAATGTTAAGAAAACAATAATCAATCAATCTTTTACTATTTGACATCACCATTTTCTCTTACATTGACATATAACAGAATTGTTTGAAAACAACAGTTGACTAAATTTACCTAGTAAGTCCAGATCAGGTAATATAAAACCTTGAAAGGAAGCTATTTTAGATTTGTTGGAAAAAAAACTTTGTTTAAAAGAAAATCTTTTAGGAGACTAGATTTTGGAATGGTTGGTTTCAAATCAATGATTAAGTAACTTAATTAGCCAAAATTAGTAATTTTTCAATAAATTAGTGTCTGAGGCCTTATTATGCATTCAAAAAAGTAAAAAGTAGATACAAATGATGATGTTGATGTTAAATATTTAAAGGAGTAAGGAGACAGTTTAAAATGAAAACTCCTTTTTATGCCCGCACCATAGGCAATGGGGGCATTAAGTGCTACCCTTGACTGTCTGTCCGTCCGTGCGTCCTTCCATCCATCCCATTTTTGTTTCTGCACTCTAACTTAAGTTTGCCTCATACAAATTTTATGAAACTCTTACATAATTCTGAGAACCAAAACTTGCAGACAGAGTACAAATTTGGGCAGTAAGTCACTACTAGTTCTAGAGTTATGCCCCTTTTTAACTTTGAAAATTTCAAAGCTTGAGCGGGAGCATTTGTGTCCTCAGACACGTACATTCTTCTTTTATTTTGAAGTTATATTAATTTGGTATATGCATTGTTTTTCCAATCTTTTTGAAAGTTTTTGAACTTTTGTACTAATTATGAATAATGAGAAGATGAAAAAAAATATATATTTGTTTCCTGTTTCCATGCAGAAAAAAATAGAGTATGGCTGTGTTCTGCTCTTTGGTCGGGTTGTTGTCTCATTGACACATTCCCCGTTTCCATTCTCAATTTTATGTAGGTAAGTAAAATACATATTTTTGTAATAATTTTACATAGATATAAGAACATGTGGTATGAGTGCCAATGAGACAACTCTCCATCCAAGTCACAATTTGTAAAAGTAAACCATTATATGTCTATAAGTACGGCCTTCAACACGGGGCCTTGGCTCACACCGAACAGCAAGCTATAGACAATATATATATTAGGGAAATATTCTATATTTTAAAAGATGCTTTACCAAAAAATCTCTAGTTTAACTGTGCTTAATTAACCCAAAAAATATTCATGAAATGTATAAGGGAAGGTTTGAAAATTTAGGGTAGGTAAGGAGGCAGGAACACTACATTATTTGTTTGGCCTAAAAGTACATGTGGAGTATTATCCAATGTCACAGCAACCCAATAAAAAAACCCAAAAGTCACTTAAAACTCAGTAGTCTTCAACAATAGAAAGGGTCTATAGAATATATGTCAAGCTCTAAGCCACAGAGTTTTTTAAAAAGTTATTAAAGGCTTTAAGTTTTGTATCAATATTTTTTATTTCAGGCAAATTTGGTTTTGTGGTGAAGTTGTGACTACAGCCTTATTTGAGAGATGTTTGAAGTTGTTACCATGGATACAGTTTTTAAATCTCTACAGTATATCAGAATGCCATGATGCTGCTTGTGAAGATTTGAACTTGTATTTCAAAGAAAATATGGTAAGGTTTTATACCCCTATCCATTATTTCTAGGATGTAGACTGCATAAGCTTTGTCCATCTGTTTGTCCTAAAAACTTTTTTCAGACACTATTCAGCTTCTATGTTATATATACAATATTGTCCATCTGTCTGTCCAGAAGTCTTTTTTCAGACATTATTCAGTTTCTATGTTATATATACAATATTGTTCATCTGTTTGTTTGTTCTTCCAACAAATATTTACTTTACATTTTTCACAAGGACTACTGAACAGAATACATTTATATTTGGCCAGCAGATTAACAGTGATGAGTTGTGAAGTGTGGAGACTTTTTGGATCTGTCAGACACTTTCTTTTTGTTTGATGATACTTATAGTGTTATTAACTGGCTGTTTCTGTATTGGCCCTGTTATAGATTCGAGGTTAGCTATAGGCCAGTTCATAACACTTTTATTAAATGATTTTAATTCTTTTAATTGGAATAAACTGAGAAACTTACCGTGAAGAAGATACAGAATTTCATATCTGAACTTGTCTCTTGTATTCACATCCATGGATTTTTTGTCAACATTGTCAGATGTAATTTCTGATTTCTCGTCCAAGTACTTAATATTATGCTATTATTCATGGAAATGAAACCGTGTCAATAATCGAAAGTCGTACTCGAAAAGGCTGTGAAATATTTCCATTTCAAGACTTCAAGACGTTACAAAACACTGAACATCATTTAAACTTTTTATTTTATGATTTTAAGTTAAAAAAATATAATACCAATGTTTTTTATTCAGTACGATACGCCCAAAGTTAAGTTAAAGGCGTATATTTGTTTCGAGTTGATCCAATCTATCTAGATAGATTTGAATGATTAAAGGAAACATCTAAATCCTTAATTTCGCCTTTTAACAACAATTACCTTATACTTTAAGGATGCTCTCAAGACGAGAAAGTTTTGTCCAGTGGGTAATATTTTACCTGGTGTTAACCTGGTCATCATGGACAAAGACCAGAAAGTACAACCTGTGGGAGCTTCAGGGGAGGTAAGTGAGGAGGACAATCAGGAAAAGATGATTCTGGTGGTTTTTGGTTGGGTGAAATTCTACTTTATATACATTTGTAAGTTAAGCTGTGGTTAGATTGATATTGAAAAGTAAACGTGGGTCTTTCTGGTAACAACCAATTTTTACAGATAATTTCAACATATTTTTAATGCAGCAGGAGTGAAATACAAATTTAAAGGCTGCCTTGGTAATCTTGTGGTAATGTACTCACTATAGTTTGTTGGTTTGATCCCTGGTCAGTCAGACAAAAGACTTTAAATCAACAAAATTACAAATTCTTTACTTAGCAAGCTATATGATAAAGGAAGAGTTTAGACTGAATACCCGAGGGTTTGGCTAAAGTTTCTTGGTTTCATGAAATACTTTTCTACAAACTGGAACCTTGATAGCTTGCATGCTTGAAAAAAAATTTATGGGTTTGGTAAGATATCTTCCTACTGACTTCTTCTTTGTTCTAATTTAGGTTTCTCTGTGAAAAAATAGAATTTACTTTGAAAACTTAGATTTTGCTATTGAAAATTGAATTTTACCATGAAAACTTAGATTTTGCCATATAAATTTAGATTTCACCATAAAAATTTAGATTTCACCTTGATAATTTGATGAATTTAAATTGATACCTTGTATAACAAAAGCTGAGTTTACAATTTACATTCACATGATGAAAAAATGTTTTTTTCCTAAATATAATGCAATGAGTATTTGCTGCATGATATTAAGCATCCACCAATCTATTTAAACATAATTTCCTCCCCTAAAATTTGTATTTGCATTTAAGATTTTTGTTGGAGGACCAACTTTAGCCCATGGGTATCTCAACAGACCAGAGGTCCAAGCTTTGAGATTTATACCCTTGCCAAAAGGAGTTCAGACAACCCATGGGGACAGACTTTACAGGACTGGAGACTGGGGATACATGTTATCTGATGGAAGATTAGAGATTTGTGGTAGATGTGATTCAATGGTGAAAATAAGGGGTTATTCCATAGAAGTTCAGGTACATTCAACTATAAAAATTGTGGTAGCCATCTTGTACCTTGAATGATTGGTATATTTAAAAAAAAAATTATATAGCATCCTTTTTTACTTTTTATACGCCCGTTTATGGGACGTATTATGGTATACCGTTGTCCGTCCGTCTGGCCGTCCATCGTCAACATGTCGGACATTAACTCAAAAACGCTTTCACCAATTTGCATAAAACTTTGGTGAATTGTTTATATTTATTGATGAGAGCTCCCTTTTGTTTTTCTATAAATTTTAGAATTTACGTTTCCGAGTTACAGGGTTTTATTCATAAAAAAAGGGGGATTTTCCAGTTTTCAGACAAAAAATCAAAAATGCTTTCAGCAGTTCTTATGAAACTTTGGTGAATTGTTTATATCTATTGATGTAAGCTCCGTTTAGAATTTTATAAATTTTACATATTACATTTCTGAGTTATGGGGTTTTATTCATTAAAAAAGGGGGGATTTTCCAGTTTTTGGACAATAACTCAATAATGCTGTCAGCAATTCTCATGAAACTTTGGTGAATTGTTTATATCTATTGATGTAAGCTCCCTTTAAATTTTCATAGATTTCTAATATGACATTGAGAATTAATTGAACTTTAATTGTTTATAGTCTGACAACAGATTTACTAAGTATTGCGCAACAGCACAGTGTATAATTGTACAACAGCAAGAACTCAGAGCTAAAGAAGTACTTTCCTAGCTCAACCACTACGGCTGGCTTAGTGTTTTCTACGCAAGGGAAGCAATCCTGTCACAGGTTTAAAAATATTTCGTCATTCATCACTTTTTGCAGGCAGTGGAGAGTGCCTTGATGGAGCTACCTATGGTTAATGCCTGTGTAGTATTAGTGGAGGGACAGGAAGGAGAAGACAAGTTCCTAGTGTCATACATTGTACCAGAGGGGCAGACAACCAAGAAAGATATAAGAGCTATACTGAAACTGAGGCTACCATTCTACATGATTCCATCCTACTTTGTATTCCTTCAGAGGTAATGAAATTTCTGATTTAGATACAAAAAACCAAAAATAGTGTTTCATATCATATATACCTGGGATTTAAAGAAGATATAAATTAAGAATTCAAGTATTAAGGCCAATAAAGGGTACCATGAACTTCAAATTCTAGAATGTACCGTTTCAGAATCTAATGCATTCTGGGTAATATTTTCAATTAAAGCGTACACTAAAACGATGTGATTGGCTTATAACAATTGAAATTAAAATATATGATGGAACTTAATGTGCACATAGACCTCCAACATGGTGACATTTTGGGATACGAACAATGAAATTACCCATAGTCCTTTAGCTTTTGACATTGCAAATTGGTTGCAAAAAGGTGGAAACAAAAGTTTAAAAAAAAAATAGCATAATCAAATCTAAAGAAGGACTTGTTCTATGGTGTTTGAGGGAAAGTCTCCATGGCATTCATACCACATTTCCTTATTTTCATATTGCGCATCAATCCTTTTTAACTTATGATAGTTAAAATGATTTTCCCCCCTTTCAGACAAGAAACCACACTAACGAACCCTTCATTTTAAAACTGTGCCCCTCTGAATTATTTATTATTACCATGCAGGTAGCTCTTGCATAAAGACCTCAATTAAAAATCTGATCTACTTTTATTTTGCATTTTATTCAAGGTAAATGTAGATTCAAATTATACACTACAATTTTGCATTGTGAATTTTTGTAATTTTAGCATTCCAATGGTGGAAACAACAGGAAAACTTGACAAGAAGGCTTTACCAAGCTTTGACAAAGAACATGAATCAGATTCTGATACCATTGCTGCTCCCAAGACTGACACAGAAAAAGAGGTTGCTGTCGTTTGGTGCAAAGTCCTTAAGATACAAGATATAGATATACAGGATAGCTTCTTTGATTTAGGAGGGTAAATTTCTTTTTTTCTCATTTATTTGTGTAATTTTAAAAGCTTGTCTTTTTAGGGAGTTAGATATGGATTGACGATCTTTTATAGTCTAGATTTATTGAAAACTATTGTAAACAAAGAATGGTACAGAGCTTGTATAAATAAACTTCAATTGTTAAAAACCTTATGGTGACCTCTAGATGTCTTTTGATTTTGTGTCAGGTTGCTGTCTTATTTGCATATACCCTACATCTCCTTTTTATTCATATTGCATATTTTAAAGTCAATTGATTTAAGTCTGTCTGTCAACTTTCCTTTCAAATGCACCATTGCCTAAATGGTTTGAGGGATGTTGATGAAACTTTACACAATTGAAGAACACTACTTGAGGATTTGCATAAAATATTATTCTCTCAGTCCAACATAGTAAAGGGAGATAATTTTGAAGGGCAGGGGTTTCCTTCTAAGAGACAGTTCTTGTTTTTTCATGTTCAGATTATATGATCAATTATTAAAGAGAATCATCAAAGATAATTAAAATGATTTATTTTTCAGACACTCCTTGCTAGCTACAGAGCTGATGATGAACTTAAGACAGATGTTTGATGTAGATTTAAATGTTCGTGACTTGTTCACATATCCAACTATTACAACGCTCAGTCAGTTCATAGAGGCCAAGAAAAATAAAAGAACGGAAGAACTCCATACAATACCTAAAGTGTCAATAAACCTCCAAACAGAAGTCAACAGGCATGATCCAAGGGGGATAATCAAGTAAGAATTGTTAACTGTTTAGGTGAGGAACCACTTATTTAGGCACAGTCAGAAAGAACATACCAGATTATAGCGCATTTTTAAAACAAAATAGTTCCTTCATGAAGGTGTAATTTTCAAAATATGTAAAACATTTTAGTAATTTTGATATCAAATGAAATCTGAAGAAGTTAAGCTCATTTGTAGAACTATTTTGTCTGTTATTTTGAATCATTGAAAATTTTAAATGGGGGCATAGTTTTCTCAGATATAATGTACCTGTTTTTGTACTTCCAAAGTTCTCTGTCCAGTAATTACTCTTTTGCTTTAAATTTACTTTTGCACTTTTTAATTTTAAAGAGTCATTTTCCATATCAGATCCTAAAATGTACAGATTTTGTTTTATTTCAGCATTGATATGCAGCTAAGAGCTTTTTGGAGAACATTTAATCTAAGTAACGAGAGAAGATTTAAGATTGGGAGAGTCTTACTGACAGGTGCCACAGGATTTCTTGGAGCTTTCTTACTGAGAGAAATATTACTACAGACAAAGGTATATTTAAATGTTATCATTGTTAAAAATATTAGATTGTCAGGTGAAGGTTAGTATGGTTTATTCTTTGCTGTGGTAAGATCTTTCATGAAAAATAACTTGTATTAGTATCTCTTTCAAATTTATTTGTTTATCCATTGACTTATATTAGTAGATCTTTCATATTTTGTTATGCATTTTTCAGTTGTATCATGACATTTGTTGTTTTCATATAACATTGTCATGATTGTTTTGGGATAAATTTTCAACAAATTCTTTTCAAAACATAATTTAAGTTTGAGGTCAAAAGCCACCAGCTGTTTTCTTATCTGCACAAGACCTCAAATATAAATACAAAAATTGATAGTTTTTGTTACGTCCCCTTCTTGTCTGACAGTAAGACAGATATGCATCACATTATTAGCAAAAAAAATTCCCAAAGTAGGGAATGGTTTATTACTGCTACTGTAAACAAGATAAACACACGGTCTAATGAGGAACCAAAATAAACTTTATATCCGGGTGCAGGATTTGCTTGCTGTGTTGAAGACCTATTGGTGGCCTTAGGCTCTTTCATGGGGTTGTTGTCTCTTTGACACATTCCCCGTTTTCCTGATGATTCTTTATTCTGACCATGTAAGAGTTTTACTAGTTTAATAGCGCAATTTGAATATAAAAGGAAGTCTAAATTTTGAACTTGTTTATTAGAATTTTAAGGTTAAGATAAAAGAAAATCTGCAATGTTTTCCTTCCATTTACGTTAGGTACAAATAAATGGTACATCCTGATTGGTCAATTCAAGCTTGTTACGAAATGCTGAAAAATAGAATATGAATACCTTCGTTATCTGAGGTGACATTTTATAGCCTATAGTTTTATATTGTTTCAGTGTATGATAAAATGCTTGGTGAGGGAACTACCTGACACTACACCAAATGAAAGACTTGAGAAGTCATTACAGCAGTTTGGAGTATTGCCATCTAATGGCAAACCTTCAGAACAACAAACTTTGATACAGTCCATGTATGCCAAAAGAGTGGAGATTATTAAAGGTAAAGAATCATTTTGTGGATTTTTATACTTGGGATGCTGATTTTCGTGGATTTCGTTGTTACAGGAGAACCACTAATTTGAATGTTCAATAAAGTACAAATTTTCTATAGGCTTGTATGCAGACTTTTGTAAAACCAAGAAATAAAATATCCACGAAAATGTAATTTTTGTCGAGCCTTCGACTTTAGTCGAAAAAGCAAGACATAGCGATCCTACATTCCGTCGGCGGCGTCGGCGGCGTCCACAAATATTCACTCTGTGGTTAAAGTTTTTGAAATTTTTATAACTTTCTTAAACTATCATGGATTTCTACCAAACTTTGACAGAAGCTTGTTTATGATCACAAGATAGTATCCAGAAGTAAATTTTGTAAAAATAAAATTCCATTTTTTCCGTATTTTACTTATAAATGGACTTAGTTTTTCTGCCAGGAAACAACACATTCACTCTGTGGTTAAAGTTTTTAAAATTTTAATAACTTTCTTATACTATTTTGGATTTGTACCAAACTTGGACAGAAGCTTGTTTATGATCAAAAGCTAGTATCTAGAAGGACATTTTGTTTTCTTCCAGTTATCATTACATTCAGTCTGCAGTTAAAGTTTTTAAACATTTATTAGATTCATAAACTATCCTTGATTTTTACCAAACTTGGACAGAAGCTTCTTACAATCAATTAGATATAGGAAGATGTTGTATGAGTGCCAATGAGACAACTCTCCATAAAGATAGTATCAAGTGGAATATTTTTATTGATTTACTTCCTCATTTTTGTTGAGCCTGCAATTAACAGAAAAAGTAGGCGAGACACTGGGTTCCGCGGAACCCTTACGAATTTTTTCCCAATCAATGAAAATTGGTTGCCACAAATATGAATGAATTCGCAGTTGCTAAAATGACTTTCTCATTCTTATAGTTGTGGCCTGTTATCTATTTCTTGCATGAAGAGATATTTCTCCTATCACACTGCACAGAGTGTGATACGAAAAAGTAATATGAAAACTGTGTTAGTTTGGTTGGCTTATCCAGCATCATGAGACGATATTACGACAATTCCATTGGCTATTCATTAGATCATTGATCATCAGACTTTCAAAGGTTAAGAGATATAAATTTTGTCCATGGCAACATGCACAAGAGGTTTTTTCTATTATTTACTTAACACTCACACTTTTCACCTGAAAATCTTCTTCTTGACAAGTTTTATTACCTAGAACAAAAAGTTTTACATAGGAGCTGATGTTAAATATTGACGCCAGAACAGTATATATGACGTCATACAAGTATGTACAAAAGACTAGATCAACGATTGTCAGAATTTTTATTTTAACACAAAGAGTTTTGACCATAAGAGAAATAGGTTTAACAACTTGTGATAATTTGGAAATCACTTGATATCAACTCTCGTTATTTAATTTAATTAAGGAATGACTGTAATATTTTTTCTGTCTATAAAGAAATAACATCAAAAATGTGGTGCACACTGAATAACCCGTGTAGCGTGTTATTTAAAAGTGTGCACCACATTTTTTAGGTTATTTCAAATAAACAGAAAAAATATAACAGTCATTCCTTATAATTTAATTCTAAATTCCATTTTTAAGGAGTAAATTTTGAAAAAAACGTTGGTGACGTCACGGTCACATCATTGGACAAAATTATGTCTATGAGCTAATATTGACAAAACACTTTCAGCCAATCAGAAGACGTGTTACATCCAGAATTAAATTATATAGTAATATAAACTTGAGGAAGGCTCGTTTATTAATATGGTGAATCAAATAACTCACGTTGATATCAAGCGGTATCCAATTTTCACTTGTTATGAAACCTATAAGAATATTTGTGATAGTTGTATCTATCATCAATACTGTACAATGGAAAATTTTTAATAGGGATATAATTTCAATCAGTTTAAGATGAATATAGAATTGCGAAATAATAATAAACCCCTTTACAGAATTATGTACAATACCTTCAAATGATTACTACTGCACATTTGTCTAATAAATTTTCGTTTTTTTAGATATGTTTGCCAGTAAGGTGTAAAAATTAGATTCAGTTTTTTTATCTATATATTTTGTGAAACAAGTAAAAAGTCACCGAAAGTTTCCTTAAGAATTTTGCAACTTATTACTAATATTTTATTATAGTTTTTTAGAGTGACAAACCGTTTAGATACATATATAGCTGAACTATAGGTACATGAAATATTAAAAATTTAACCCTTTGTTGCTATATAACCTTTTGCGACCATGATTCGAAAATTGATTATATTGCCTTATTTCTTCCTACTAAATACTCTGAAGTTAAGTAGACAATAATGTTAAGTATGTTTAAATATAGAAAATATCGCCCTGATAAACATGGGTATGACCAAAGATGACTAAAACACCTGTCTGTTTGTATTACAGGAGATGTAGCCCTGATAAACATGGGTATGAACGAGGATGACTACACCTATTTATGCACAGATATAGACTTCATCATACATGCAGCAGCTTATGTCAACCTAGTCTATCCTTATGAGGTAAAGCATATTTTGTTAATTTTTGGGATACAAAATATTCTTTTTTTGGAACAATGACATCCTTCCAGCAGTCAGAAAGGTTTTGTGCAAAGATTTTCTCTAATTGAAAAATACCTGAAAATGATGCAAATAATAATATGATATAATAATAAAAATACACCCTTTAGCCTTTTTGTGTCAATCCAACATTTACAACTTCCCTTCTGAGCCACCTTGCAGAACAGACATTACTGAGCAGTTGTTCTGAATGTGCATGAAATGTTTGCAACTGTAACTGTGAGTACTCTCAGATCTGTACTTAATGTCCTTTTTGTTGTTTAGGATGAGGGATGGATAATTACCATGCCACGTCCAGTCTGTGTTTATGTTTGATGTTTTTCTTCTTTGTATTGATCTGATGAGTTAAGCCTTTTTCAACTGATTTTTATAGTTTGTTCTTATGTTGTGCTGTTACACCACTGTCCCAGGTTAGGGGAGGGTTACATGCTCACAAACATGTTTAACCCGCCACATTCTTTTTGTGTCTGTCCCAAGTCAGGAGCCTTTAGTTCAGTGGTTGTCATTGGTTCATGTCTGTCATATTTGTTTTTCGTTAATTGTTTTGTTATAAATAAGGCCGTTAGTTTTCTCAATTGAAACGACTATACAGTATGGGTTTTTCTCATTGTTGAAGGCCGTACGGTTGCCTATAATTGCTTACATTTGAACTTTGGTGGATAGTTGTCTCATTGGCAATCATACCTCATCTTCTTATTTTTATATTAGTTGAGCAACATTTAGTCTATCTTTTGTATTAGAGCTTGATATTATCAGGTCATGCAAGTTAGTAGTAAAAACAGATCATGCTTTATGTCCTTTAGGGAATTTGATTTTTGATTGTCTCTTTAGAATTCATCCAAAACTTTGGTTTAAGGTGTGACATATTGTATAAACATCTAGCTAATATTGAAGACTGTATGTTGACCGCTAGAATTCTTCAGATTGTTATATGTCTTTGGAAGTTTGGATTGTTGCCTCAATGATTATGAAGATATTGCATTAATCAGCGTCCCCTTTATTGGTATCATGAAATTATAGAATGTGGCATTAAAGCTTGTAAACATTTTTTTTCAACTTTAACAATCATAGAGAAGTTGAAATATAAATTGATTTGGTCTTGTAAGTTTAAAGAAGTGTTTGTATTTCAGGCTTTTACTGGACCAAATGTGACAGGAACAAGAAATGTTGTAATGTTCTCCTGTACTGGTAAAATAAAACCCATACATTATATCAGGTATAGAAAGGTTTGGATATATGCAAAATTTTAGTTTGATTTATTTCCCTTGGTCACCATTTTGGAGGTGTAAATGGTTGATTTACTTATTTGACTAACCAAATTGAAAAATGCTGTACAAACAAAGCTGATAAAATATCCTTACTAAATCGTAGTGATGAAACAAACATGCAAGGCTAAAAGAAATTGAAATTGTTCAGAAAACATCTTTTTCTGAAGTCAAGCGGTCAGTATAACAAGTTGAATTTGACTGATATATGATGGAACTTAATGTGCACATAGACCTCCAACATGGTAACAAAAGGGAAGTAACTCTTGCTCAAATTGTGTCAGTCAATAAAATTCATATACTTGATCGATTATTCAAAAGCTAATTCCAATGGCTCTCTTTGACAAATTTTTGGACTATACATCTGAGGTGAAAATGTAAATATTGCCAGTCATATTGTCTTTTAAAAATGGATAGCAAAAAAAGATAAGTTTTCTTGTCAGATAGTTGGAACCTAAATACTGTAAATTCAGAAATTATTGCGTGCATTTATTATTGCGATTTTTCAAGAATGGACAAAAATGCGAGGTTAGTCAATATTGCGATTTTGAAAAAATCTGCATACAGGTCTATATTATGTTTCAGTTATCAGAATGCGAGTTCTTATTATTGCGATACTCACACAGTCGCATTTAGATAAACCTCGCAATAATTTCTGAATATACAGTAATTTAACACAAACTGCAACAAATGTGTGAATTTTTTATAGTTTTTGTTTGCATTGGATATGAGAAAATTGGGCTGTGTAAGTTTTTGATTCAGGTACTAAATTAGAACTAACAGAGGCCTCCTACTTTCTCAAGGGTATCCTCAAACTGAGCTTGGTGACTGTTGGGCATATAGTTCAAATATTACAACAGGATTTATTTACCAGAAAAAAATAAATTTGCCCGAATTTCAGTCTATCAATTGCTGCATGCTGTTGGGTCTTAAGGAGACTTTTCACCACATGGGGCAATAAAGGAGTCTATTAATAACTGATATGACCTTAACCTTTGACATATTGACCTAAAAATTAATAGGGTTCTTAATCTAGTCCCACTTGGCATTATTGAACCAAGCTTAAACAAAGTTGGACGTATGGGAAAAAAAAATAACAACTGGAAACCAAATATTTTGTCCAAATTTCAGTCTATCAACAGATACTTGAACCTTGACATTTGACCTATTGACCCGAAAATCAATAGGCTTCTTCTTCTAATGATGCATTTTAAAACTGAGTTTGGTAAAGTTATAATGTATGGCTTTAAAGATTTCACTGGAAACAGAAATTTATACAGCATACGCCTCCAGTTCAGTAGAAGGACGCCTGGAAATTCATCATATTTTCAGGAGAGTTCAACTTTGTTGCAATGATGTCTTAAGTAAAGCTAATATTTACATATTTTTTTTCTGAAAGTCTCTATCAGAAGTCCAAATAATTACAGTTTATTAATGGTGTCACACTTTTTTTAATCAAACTTACAGGTCAAATAAGCCCCGAATATATTGTTTCCTCTAGTACTAGTATGTATACCTCTCGTTGAATATTTTATTATTTTACATTATAGCACTGATGCTGTGTTTCCAAATGGAATGAAGAATTGTTCAGAAGATGACAACATTGAGGATAACCATACAGAGCTAAATGATGGATACTCTCAATCTAAATGGGTGGCTGAACAGTTGATCAGTCGAGCGGGACAGAAAGGACTTCCTGTAGTTATTTATAGATTAGGTAATATCCAGATTTGTAATTTATTAAATATTAGGGTAGATGGTCCTTAAAAAAGCAAAACACCCTCTTCTTATATAAGAACTAATTGGTTCTTTTTTTGGTATGGAATCTGAAATTTAGGTAATGAGCAGGGCTCACGCTACCAGGCGACTATAGGGCGAAAAAGTCGTTTTCCCCGTCCATCACTTCGCTTTTCCCGACCCTCAAAAGCGAAAACAAGTCGCCCTGTGGTTTACGATACTCGCTTTCAGTCCCTTCGTCATCGGCAATATTCAATTTTTACCAAGACGATGAAACAGCAATTTTTCATTTAAAAGTTATGAAATTCAAGGCATAAACGATTTATTTTCTTCAGAAAAGAGGTTAAAGCATAGATTTCAAAGTTGGTGGCATGTTATTTCATAAAAACAATTTTTTATCACTTCCGGTACTTGTTACTGGAGATTGTACATCAAATCATTCTAACTTTCGGCAAAATAAGTTGTTATTTCATTAGAACTTGATGAAATTTGTCTGAAGTAAATTTGTTATCCTTGTATTGCATTAAAAACGTCATATTCCTTTCCAAATAGCGTATCAAACATCGTTTTTTTTTTGGTAAATTTTTCTTCATCCGCCATTTAAATTATTGGGCATATTATTGTACAACTACAGATCGGAGTTGGGATTTCATCGGAAACGGACCTGCTATGACTGAAATCCGGATTTTTATGATAATGACTATGGATGCATGAATGGCACTGCTGACAGACAAAAAATTATCCCAAAAGGAAAAATTACGCATTCCACACGCATTAACATACTTTTGGTTAGATCTTCTTGATTAATGTATATATTTCCATGTATATGCATTGTTTCAATTTATAAGTTAAAGTTGCTCAACTCTGGGACTATTACACTTAAATATAATCATATTATGTCCAAGCTTAACTGTTAAATTTATATATCTTTTTAATGAGAAATACTCAGTTTCATGAACAAGATAATAGAGTAGTTTTTTAATTGATATAACAACTTTCTTTTCCTTTTTGATATAAAAAAACCTTTTTTTTATTAGTGCCAGATATTTAATTGTTTTTTTCTGAAAAGAGGACTCGTATGATTGTGCAACTAGATATGATAAAATTAAACAACTTTAAATTTGAACAGTTACTTTAATTGAATACCCAGGTACAAATTGAACAATATAAAAAAAATAAGATACATTTGGCCCTTAATGTATTAATGTAGTAAAAACCAAACATTGTAGCGCTGTGAGCAAACAAGCACTTCTCTTTCAAATCTCACCACTTCTCCCTCTCAATTTCAAAAAGAGAAGTCACTTCTCCCTATGATTCTGAAGTAGTGTGAGCCCTGGGTAATGAGTATAAATCAATATAAATAGCACAAAAAGTTGCATAACTGAGAATGCGTTTTTTTTATATATGAGTGCATGAAAAGTGATTGAAGTTTATTTTGAATGGATCATGGATGTTATATTTATTGTTACTCAAAGTAATGATATCTGTCCTCATTCATTTTATCAGAAAATGTGTTGGTTAATTTTCTGCTGTTGAATTGGTCAATTTTAATTTACCAATGCCAGTCTCTATTTTGAAAAAAATTCAACCACCCAACCAAAATGAAAATAACTGATTTGATTTTTAATAACACTAAGTTATGAGTACATTAAATCACACAGGCAGAGGTGAATTTAGGGGTGGGTGCACATGGAATGCCATTGGCACCCCCTCATTGAGCTACATTTATGGTTATTCCAGATTTTTACCATTGAACACCCCATATTTTATCTAGTTTGGGGCCTGCATCAGCCCCCTTTTTTAGAATCCCAGATACCCATCTGACAGGTCCTGTGTAATATCAATAAATTACACAATATAACTGTCCATTAATTCATTAACTGCTGTCATGATATGGCAGAAAATTTTATTTAAAAACATGAAATCTAGTTTACAAACCTTTAGTCAAACTTTGGATACATTAAGATTTTCACTGTATTATCTTCTGCTGTAGGTAATATGTCAGGTGACAGGAAGCAGGCATTCTGGAATCCTCAGGATTTTACTCTATTAGTGCTCCAAGCATGTTCCAAATATGGCTTTGCTCCAGATGTTGACTGGGACATGGAGATGACCCCTGTGGACTTTGCTGCTGAGTTCATTGTACGCTGTACATATAACCTATCTACCATTTTAGGGAAGACCTACCACATTATCAATGACCAACCTTTACATTCAAGGTATATATCAAAAAATTATTTGTCTTTTAACCCTTTCAACGCTTCACAAAAAAATAGAAAAATGGCTGCTGCTGCAGCATTTTTTTTGTGTTCATTCATTAGAACAGTATATATTCCTTTTCAGACCTCCGTTTCTCCCCCTTTTCTATGTCTTGTAAAGATCGACCAAATCATATTTCCCACACGAATTGAATGTAATAAACACATTGAGATAACGGGAAACCTTTTAACTATTCCTCGTTGTCAGTTTTGCCATAGAAATGCTGAAATATTTCCATATTTACAGCGTCTTTTTCGATTTCCGCCATTTGCATTTGTCAAAATATTTGTTTTTATTTTCCTTCTACTGCATGATTTTACCATTTAAATTCCCACGATTTCAAGCGCAAATGGTACCTTGTATATCCTCGATTAATACGCTGAAAAATTAGAGAAGACCAGAATGAAAACCGAATGGTTACAAGTCTGGATGAAAAATCCATCGTCATCGCGACGTATGCCGAGAACAGCAGTGGTGGACGGCATACGTCATCGCAGCATATGCCGTGTATAGCGTTGAAAGGGTTAAGACAGATGTCCCTATTAAAAATAGTAATGTTCAAAAATACCTTTTTAACCTTTAAGATTATAATACATGTACTTGAATTTATTTAGGCATAGAATTATAGACCGTACTTTGACCTATAATGGTTTATGCGCTGAAAGGCTTAAATCTTCTGAATCTCTCATATTCTTTCATTTTGAAAGCAAAAAAAAAAGTATTTTCGCAGTAACAGAATGTATATAACTGATGTTTTCAGGTTCCTTTTTTTTTTTTTGATTACAAACCTTATGTAATTATAAGACAGTGCAGTGAATTGTATGTTTCTGATCATATACTTTGTTTGGTTGAATCTCAGTGTGATTTATCTGTACAATGTAATACTATATAATAAAGAAAACATAAGGTTTACAAATTTTATTTCAGCAGATGTCAACAAACATAACAATGATTTCGTCATTCAATAATATTTAATTACATACGAATAATATGAAGCATATATAGAAACAAAGGCATTTTGTCATCATCTATAAGACAGACAAAATGCAAATATGAATAATCATCGTCAAAGCACATTTAGGGCATACATAGCACATTTAAACCACAGCTACCACATTCAAAACATAATTAAACATAGCACATACAGAATTCTGAGTCATATCTGAGACAAAATGCAAAAATGACTATTGTCAAGGCTAAAGCACAAGCATAAACACAGGCAGGAGTAATTAACAGCTAGTCGTTGGACGGACCGTAGATGTTGCCACAATCGCGAAGTAGACGGGATGCTGTTATGTCACCTTCTGTGTACTGGTCCCATAACTGATGAAGACGACCTTCCAGCTCCTTGTAGCGGATGTGTTAGTTCCTGATGACCTGTTCTTCAGAAACCAATCGGACAGTTAGATCAACAAGCTGGGCTTCCCGATGAAGCGCCGGTACCAAGGCATAGAAGGCAGCATTAGCTTTCCCGATGTCGGAGTTGATCCTTGTGTGCCAACCTAAAATAGAATTAAATTATAAGAAAAGATGTATTTACATACATATATATATTCATTAAAAACATGAAAAGAAAAAAGAAAGCTATTTGCCTCATCACAACAAAAGATAACCTTGAACTATAATGGTTTACTTTTATAAATTGTGGCTTGGATGGAGAGTTGTCTCATTGGCACTCGTACCACATCTTCCTATATCTATATAATTTATATTGCAGTAATCCATGTCAATGGGAACGTCGTGTGATTACATCGAAATTAAATTAAAATTAATTTTATAATTTTTCGTTACAATATAATAATGCCACCAGTTTGATAGGAAAATGAAATTCTTATATAAAATAAAAAAATAAAAAATACATACCTTCAACATCATTATTGGTCCTGATGCTGGTCTGAAAGATGTTCCAGTTGCGTGGGTGCCAAACAGTGTTGCAGAGCCATGTGTTGTCTACGTATCTTACTAGTTGCTTTAGCTCTGGAGATGTAGCTCTTGGTGAAAGCTTCTCGAAAGCCGGCTGGATGTTTTTTTTTCATGTTATTTTATAGAACTATAGGGTAATATCAAAGAAATCTCTGTTGTTTTTTCAATTTTACTCCACATCTATTTTTAGATATATATATAATAAATGTTTGCCTCGGCTTGCCTTTCTAAAAACATTGTATCTGTTTGATGTGACCATTTAAATATAATTACTTTTCAATTGGTGAATCCATTAATAAAGAATTACAGATTAGTGAAATTGTCAAGAAGCCATTCACTGTCAATCAAATTTCTCTTTGTTTGTATACTAATTATGAACACCAAGGATTAAACACAATACAAACACGCACACACGCCAATCATTAAAACATCTTTTGTCAATAAAAATAGTAAACGAGAAAATCACAATTATAATATTTAAACAAGAAGTTAATTATCCTCATCCAAACATATCAAATTCAACTCAAATAACACATATTTAATATGATGAAGCTATGTTTATTTCAATACATTTCTATACATTGTTTTTTCAAAAATATTTATCATAATCTCAAAATTCGTATATAATTTTTATATATAAAGTTCGTTTTTTATTAAAGTGAGAAAAAAACCCCACAAAACAATCTACAAATCGTAGTCCGAGTTTGTTCAATATATTTCTGCATATAAATAATGGTAGGCCAAGTTTGTTATAGTCCGAGTTTGTGATAGGCCGATTTTGTTTTAGTCCGAGTTATCCAGCAGCGATCATACAAGACTAGTCTATATGATGGAAACAGGGTGTAAATCAAACTTGGAGTAGAGTATTTCATTTAAGACAAGTCCATATGTTGACAATAGGGTGAAAATTTGTTTTGATGTGCCAAAATCATAAAAACAACAAGTCAATATAACCATTGCTATTCAATATATATAATTTCTTTGTGGTTTAGACTACAAATCTTCATAGTGTACTGGGCCATGATAAAAAAGTTAGTATAGAATTAACTAAAATTTCATTTTCAAGAAAAATTTCAATATTTATTCTGTAAAAACCTGAAGCCCATTTAAAACCTGCAGCTAGGAATATCATATTAAGTTTCTCACTCGTGCAGGTGCACTCGACTATACTACTGTAATCACTTAAGCCAGTCAACACTGAGGATGTGAGTTCGAACCCCGCTTGTGCGGTTGCACTAGACTCCAATCTTAATTGACTAGGATTGTCAGTTTTCCTATCAAAGGTCAGTGGTTTTCTCCGGGCACTCCGGCTTCCTCCACCAATTAAAACTGGCCGCCACGAAATAGCCCAAAAGCGGTGCTTAAAAGTGGCGTTAAAACACCAAAAATCAAAAATCAAAATCAAATCATATTAAGTTTAATATATTAGGTAGAAAATAATTTTGTAATACACGTGCAAAATCAAATATAATGTAGTCTTTCTGGTTTGTGTGATTTAGATTTTTGTATTGCACCTTTACTACCCTATAGTAATTCTAAATGGAATAGCTCTAGGTGAACATTCTAGGAACTCAACTTTATTGATTAAGTAATCATTGCATTTAAATATCATTCAAATAAACTTTTAAAAAGTTTGATCTAATAATCACTTTCAATGATCCTAAACAGATTTCGAGTGATTTCTTATCCAAGGGTAAATGGTCGTCTCTAAAAGATAGATTTGTGTTCATCACTGAGTAAATGTTTTAATCAGTCAGTATCAGTTGAGTGACTTCAAATAGATTTGTGTTCATCAGTCAATAAAGTTCATGTTCAGAGTGTCAGTTCAGGATTTGAAGCAGAAATTTTTAAGAACTGAATAATAAATCAAAGAATAAAAATAAGTTGTATTCACAAATTGAAATTCTAATAATTGTAATCAAGAATTTGATTTAAAGTGAATAAAGTTTATGGATGACAGCTTTTTTCAAGTAATGTTGTTAAATTATACTTTCATCACAAATACTAGAAATTAAAAAAAAGAAAATTGTTAATTTAATTGTATTTTGTATCAGGACATCCTAATTTTGCTATATTTAGGGTTTTAAATTATGCATATGTTTATTATATAAGTTGTATTGAATTTTAAAAAGACATATTAACTTTTAAGCTTTGACGCCATACTCCAAAAGAAATGATTTTATATAAGGAGAAGGGCTATCATTTTCATAGATCTTTTCCGTATATAAAATACATTCTTTTTGGTTGAGGAGTTCAAAAGTGTTTTGCTTTAGATAATTTTACTGCAGATTTGAAAATAATATTTTTCAGATGGGTGTTTGAATGGATGAATGCACATGGATATCCTATAAAGATTGTACCTTTCAGTGAATGGAAAACCAGGTAAATTATTATATTATATATGGAAGATTGTCATATCCAGAAATCAACGCCACTTTGCTTATTTGAATATTATACTAAAGAAATCTGATACGGGTCAGGGAAATTTTATTGAAATGATAGGGAATTTTGAAAAAAAATGTTGGTTTTAACTTTAATTTAAGTGATAGACAGGTTGCCGGGACAGAAAATAAATATACACAACAATATACACCATTTAAACGAAACATGATGACTGTCGTTGCAAAAATCAAGGTTCCTGAGCTATTTTAAAAATCGAAGCGAGAGGCTTTTAACATTGCAGTATAAAATACAGGCTAAAATGGCTGAAATGTCAAATTTGCAAACTTCATGTTGAAAATTGGCTAACAAGGTCATTACAAAAACAGGTTGCCGGGATGAAACTTGAAACTTGAATGTCCAAAGAATAAGCAAGTCCAAACCTTGTATGTGTAGTCGTTGAACTCTAGGTTCCCACTTAAAGTTAAAATGCCCCTATTGCAAGAAGAATAAAATCACGAAAACACGAAAAATTCACTAAATTTGGGTCCATTGTTTTGATTTTGACTGCCTGACAACTTCACGGAAATATCAGAGTGATTATAAAGAAGGACTTTGTGACGGGCAACTTATAATATCCGTGTTTTAAAGATTTTAATGATATCAAGCCAGTCCAGTTCAAACTATTATCACGTGGTACAATTCTCATTTACATATAATGAATATTAATTAGCAAAAGTACTACTAATTTCTGGCTATGTTACATGTCAAAAGCCACAAAAGTAAATCTTTAGCTTTTAGTGTCAATTTTCAATATTTCAGATATTCTTTTGATTTTCATTTTCCACCCAAAATTATATCAGTACCATACACATCCTGGCAAAAAAATAACTGAATTTTTTAAAACCAAAAATAAGGAAGTGTTGATTTGTTTCTCAATACTCTGATTATTTTTTTTATATAGAATTTTAGAGGAGTCACAGAAAAATGGAAGTAATGGATCCTTCGCGGCCAATATACAGAGACTGTTAGAGTCCTATCTAACGTAAGCATTAATTATAGCAGTTTTTAATTACAGAATTATAGTTATCAATGAAACAGCCATATTTTCGCCAACAAATATTTTGCTAAAATATTCTTAATTATTATACCATATTCTTAACTTTTTTAACAAAAATTGCAATGGGCATCCAGGTGGCATCACATACAAAATCATGAAAAAAGGAGGGAAAAGTTGACAAATTTCCAGAAAAACGGATGCAAATGAAATCTATCACTATTTCAAGCTAATATATTTATAAATATGAAGCAGATATACAATTTTTGTTTTATACTTTCAAATATCATACATTTAGCTATACATACCCATTAGATTAATTAACTTATATAGATGTAAGAAAAAACTTTACAGGGCTGTTTTGGGGGTTAGTGTTTATACATACTCCTTTTGTACCTTCAGTGGAGCTTAGAGTAAAGTATTCAAAAATGTCAATAATTATGTTGTGCATGGACCTGGTTTATAATTGTATCAATCTCCAATGCTTCTTTATTTTGAAAATCAGACCTATATATGTCAGAATTTTCCATTGTTTTTCCTGACTTTCTTTCAAAAGACAATATTGCATACTGTTGTACATGTGAAAGATACATGTAGATGTATTTCAGTATTAAACATGTAATATAAAAATAAGGAGATGTGATATGATTGTAAATGAGACAACTTAATATTATCCACCGAAGTTCAAGTGAAGTGCATGTAGGTAATTATAGGCAACCATACAGCTTCAACAATGAGAAAAAACCCTAACATATGGTCGTCTATCAAAAGCTCCGACATAAAAAATATGAAACTAATCAATTGAGAAAACTTATGGCTTAATTTATAACAAAACAGTTTACGAAAAAAACAAATATGACAAACATGAACCAACGACATTGTGACCACTGAAATACACGCTCCTGATTTGAGACAGGGACATAAAGAATGTGGCTGGGTTAAACATGTTTGTGAGCACCCAACACTCCCCTAACCTGGGACAGTGGTGTAGCAGTACAACATAAAGACAAAATATAAAAATCAGTTGAGAAAGGCTTAACTCATCAGATGGAGACAAATAGAAATACACCTAACAAAAACACAAAGTAGACGTGAACAGGTACTTATACATCCAAAAAATAAAAAGACACTGAAGTACAGATCTGAGAGTCTCAAAGATATACCAAAGACAAGTTCTTTTTAACCAGAAATGAGGTAAATTTAATTAGATTATATAGACATCTTTATTGCATTCTTTTTCAGAAGTCCTGATTTCTTTTCCAATTTGAGTACCTACAAGACAGACAATTTAAAACAGACATTAGAACTGTTCAATATGTCCTATCCTTACACTGATAGTCACATGTTGAAGACATACTTCAAGGAATTATCTCAACGTAAAGTCATTCTTCCTGTAAAACGACAAACATCATATTTGGGTGAGTTCTTATATGCTTGTTTAATCATGTTAATTGAGGCATTGAGTTTGATAGTTAAGATAGTTACATTACAAATTTTTTAAGCAATGAACCTTGAAGTATATAATAAATCTTTTAAATGATATTCTCCCGATGTTTATCACATAAGTCTGTGACATATAACTTTTTATGATTTTGATTTTGATTATGATTATAAATATAGTTACACATAATTTGCATTTATAAATTGTAATCTAAATTCTTCCAATTGCAGCATAACTGCTAAAAATGCTCCACTTTGAGATCTTATCATTTAATTTTATATGAGCAGAGGTGGATTTAGAGGTTTTTCCAGGGGGCCTGGGCCCCCCCTTTTTGTGTAAAAAATATGGTTGATTATTTAGGGAATCAATGAAGCATGAGTGGAGCAGGCCCCCTCTTTGGCAGTCATGCCCAAGTCAAACTGAACTGCTATCATTAGCAGTTTATTAGCTGTTATTTACCAGTTCTTCATATTTTTAGCAGTCTTTCAGCTGTTCATAGCATTCCATCTAATAGCAGTTTGAGAAACTGCCTTATTTCACCATTTCTTAGCATTCCTCATAGCGTTCATCTTAGCAGTCTGGATGTACCTTCTAAACTGTTGTCAATTTGTCAATTGGACAACAGTTATGACAGCAGTTCAATAGCAGTTTGATAGCAGTTTTGGTTTTAATCTTTGTTATAAAAATGCTTGGATCTGGCTGTGTTTTCAGCTTGATAGTAAACCTTTATTTGAAGGTTATTTGATCATTTTCAAATGTGCATTTTGGCTCCAATTAAGCTGTGTGTAAATACTTGCTAGTGAAAAACTGTATTTTTGTCAATTATGAAGTTTAATTTGGGCTAAATGGAATAATTTCTCACACCTGCGGTACAGTAAGTTGAAGTTACAGATAATGCATGTGTATTTTCTGACATAACTTTGTAGGGAAAAACAGAAATAATACAGAAAGCCCCCAAAAAGGGGGGATACTTTAAGTAAACACTCTTATTGAATGAGATGCTTTTTATAAGCACTGGTATTTAAAGTGCATTATAATTCTTAACTGTTCCTATTATTCTGCCACTGACATAATTAATAAGGGGTTTAAGGCCAGGTACAGTACTCACAAAGCATGTTTACACCCCTTAACAAGTCTGTTATTGGATTAAAATAGAGTCATTTGATTGCAGTTACTGCCCAAATCACAAATATAAGTTAGTGCAACTTTTTGAAATTTCAACAAGACTTGCAGTAAAATATTAGAATTTTATTTTTGCATTCATATCTTGTACACTGTATATTCATGTGTACCTTTGTATTCCAACTTTTGACAGATCTGATAGCATTCCATAGCAGTTATTAGCAGTTTAGAAAGCCATATTAGGATGTACAACTTAGCAGTTTCTATGAATATTCATTATTGATAGCTGTTATTATAGCAGTTCTCATGAATATTCAGAGAAGATAGCAGTTTTTGAGTATCTCATTCAAATTTTTCGTCAAAAATAACTGCTAAATAACTGTGAAGGCTAAATAAACTGCTAAGAAACTACTATGGAATGCTATTGGAATGCCTATATGCAAATTAACTATTGCCTTGAATTTGGCAACTGTGAATGCTAATGAACTGCTAAAGAACAGCTGTCGAGTAAGAACTGTGAATGCTAATAAACTGCTAAAGAACTGCTGTCCACTTTGACTTGGGCAATGCTATTTTAGCTCAACTTAATCAATTTAATCATGATTAAGACATCAAAGTGACATCACAAAGGATATAGTTTTGACCAAAAGATTCCTTATTTTATCATTCTTTTCATTTATAATTTGAATTGATATAAATAATGTCGTATGCCCTTATAATAAATATAGCTTAATTTTAAAATATAAAATATCTTTTAGGACTTTTTAAGGCCAAATAATGGCTCTCTTCTTTTGTATTTTATTTCAGATATTTTACATATTTCCGTTTCTATTAATAAGGATTAAGTTTCTTTGGTGTTAAATTATTTATATTAAATTGCAGAAGAAAATTACAAAAATATTTTGAGTTATTTCCCTTCATCAAGAAAAGGGGAGACAACTGTATATTGTTTATAAACAACAGCATGGCTTCAGGTGTGGAAAGCATTTTTACATGCTATTAGTATTAGTACAAGAACAATTTTCATATGAAGTTTTCATTCAATGTGATGATTAAATAATGACAGCAGTCAAGTTAGTAAAACACTATATTTTAAAACAGTCAATAGACATTTTTGAGAAGTAAACATATTTTTATTGAATGATTAATTTAATATTTGTGATTATATATACATGATATATGCAGGTGCAGATCCTAGTCCTATAATATATGCCTTGGCATTATATTTTCATTATTTAATGCTGATTTTTTCATTTTGTTTTTTTAAATGCGGGTGGCACATTTATAGTGAATAAAAAAGAAAAATAGCAAAATAAGTAAAAAGAAAATATTAGAAATTATAAAACAGAAATAGAAAATAATGCTGCCCCCCTATAACCCCCCCCCTAGATTTTTTTCTAGAAGTTTACATAAATTACAACCTATTTCACTGATGTATTTCTAATATCAATTATGTCAATTGATATTTATTTGCTTGTGCCAAGATAGGTCATTGAAAAAAAAAGTTTTAAAAATATGGACAACAAACTTTACATTGAAATGATTTTGATCAAATTCATAATCCACAATTTTTTTTGTACCTATAAATATTTTCTCTTTTATACCTTGTTTTGGTAGCGACGAAAGGGATACAATTTTAATTTGAAATATTGATTGATTAGTGATAAGTTGCTTTTCAGGTGTCTCATTTGCAATTATACCTGTCTATTGCTGACATTTACTTTGGATTCATTTATTTTCGTGGGTACCAATTTTCATTGATTGAGGAAAAAATGTGTTTATGTGGATATTTAATTTCAGTGTTTTACCAAAGTCTGCATTAACATGCCTTTTGACAATTTGTACTTTATCGAACATTGAAATTTGTAGTTCACCTGTACCCACTAAATCAACAAAAATCGGTATCCCACAAATAATAAGATAATAAGTGTAGAAGATGATGTTTTTGGTTATTTGTGTCCTTGATTTACTGTTCCCTCGTCTTCTTTTAGATGATGAGGAACACTTTTTCCTTCATTGCCAAATTAACAGTAATGTAAGACATTCCCTTATAAATGCAGTTAAAACCCATTATCCTAATTTTAACAAGCTTGACTCAAACTCTAAACTTAAAACTATTCTAGATCCCAATAAAGATATTTTGTCTAGTGTTGTAGACTATATAAAGCGATCTATGGAATTGCGAAAATAAGGTCCACATTGGTCAATTATTATATATATATATATATATTATTAATATCAACTTGACTTATGTTTAAAACATTTATCATGTATTATGTTTCTTGTCACTTGTGTATACAATGTACTATGTTTGCATTTTAACCCGCCAGGATTTCATGTTTTGCAATAAAGTTAAACTAAACTTTATTAATGATAAGATTAAACAAAAAAATGATGGTTGTTTGTAGTGGTAAATTTTATATAACTTAGAATTTTAGTAGATATTCAGATACATTATGAATGTTTAATTTAACCAAATAAATTCTGTATTTGATTAGAGAACAGAAAATTAGAAGGAAAGATTGCCATTGTAACTGGAGCTTCCAGTGGTATTGGTCGAGCCATTGCTGTAGTGCTATGTCAGGCTGGAGCCAAAGTAGCATTAGCGGCAAGAAGGATGGAGAGATTAGAGGAGATAAATAGAGAGATAACTGATCAGGAAGGCATCTGTATATGTGTCAAAACTGATGTCACAAAGAGGGAAGATGTAGGTACTTCAAAAGCAGAAATTCACAATTTTTTTTTTATGCCCCACTTAGGGGCATTATGTTTTTTGATCAGTGCATTAGTTCGTTTGTCCGTCTGTCCGTTTGTCTATAATCTGTCCTGCTTCAGGTTAAAGTTTTTGGTCAAGGTAGTTTTTGATGAAGTTGAAGTCCAATCAACTTGGAACTTAGTACACATGTTCCCTGTGATATGATCTTTCTAATTTGAATGCCAAATTAGAGTTTTGACCCAATTTCATGGTCCACTGAACTTAGAAAATGATGATGCATAGTTGGGGATCTGTGTACTCATAACATTCATAATGGACATATTCTTGTTTTATTTTTATTTATTTAGTGGATAGATATTATCATCTCAATTTGAACCCAAATTGAAATTTAATCTTCAAAGAAAATTACTATGACTCACAAGAATCCATGAAAACAAACCATCATAAAATGAAACTGACAGACAAAACTAGGAAATTTAAACCTGACAAAAATTAATGTTTCTAATAGAAAATTTCTACAGTACAATATATCAAAGTATATATGGGGAATTATGTCAATGAGACAGCAACCCGTGGACATAAAAAAAGGAAGACATCAATGTTCAATAATATTCTTCAACAAACTACCTCTATCTAAACAATAAGTCAAGCTCTAAATTGGAATTAAGACAAATTATTCTATATGTACATGTGGAATTGAAAATATAACCCTGCCACATTCTTTTTGTGCCTGTCCCAAGTCATGAGTGTGTTGTTCAGTGGTTGTCGTTAGTTCATGTCTGTCATACTTTTTTCATAAATTGTTTTGTTATAAATTAAGCCGTTAGTTTTCTCAATTGAACTGTTTCATATTTTTCATGTCGGGGTCTTTAATAGCCGACTATACGGTTTAGGTTTTTCTCATTGTTGAAGGCCGTACGGTGCCTATAATTGCTTACATTCACTTCATTTGAACTTTGGTGGATAGTTGTCTCATTAGCAATTATACCACGTTTTTCTTTTTTTTATACATAAGTTAACTTTTAAATTCATACTTAGAACAAATTCTGGAATTATTTAAACCTTAATTAAAGTATATTGAATATTTATGATTTTCTTTATTTCGTTATATCTTTTTTTTTCTGCAAGGATCATATTTTACTGCAATATTTCAGGTCAAAGAACTAGTGAAGCATACAGAATCAGTATTTGGTCCTGTAGATATCCTTGTTAACAATGCTGGTGTAATGTACTATACGATGATGAAGAATTTACATGAAGATGAATGGGAGAGACAGATTGACCTTAATTGTAAAGTAAATAGAAATATTTTGTGGAAAGTTTTTGTGTAGTCTGCTTGTAATCTGTCAACTGACTAATTTTCACGACTTTTACTAGTAGAAAAGTAACGAGAATATAAATCATCGCAAATATGTAAAATTGTGGTTATATCAATGGACAACACTTAGTTTAAGGAATATTTATAGTAATACTTGTTTGTTTTTTTGAAAAAGGCGAAAAATTATCAAGAGGGCAATAAAAATAAAAAAGATAGACTACTTTAGAACAATGTGACCAAAAAAAATAAGATAAAAAGATGAACTAATCATGATGATACACAGATGTTGAACAAGACGAACCCCACCAAAATACTGGTGAATACTCGTGCAGATGCTCCCGATGAATCAGCAGCTCCTACTCTGCTTGTCATACCCGTTGTGTTACTCCTGATATAATATAAAATTGAGAATGGAAATGGGGAAATGGGGAATATGTCAAAGAGAAAACAACCTGATAACAGCCGAAGGCCACCAATTGGTCTTCAACGCAGGGAGAAAATCCCGCACCGGGTGGTGGTCCTCACCTGTCTCCTAAATAAAAATATGTACTAGTTCAGTGAAAATGGACGTCATACTAAGCTCCAAAACATATACATGAACTAAAATTAAAAAACATACAAGACTAACAAAGGCCAGAGGCTCCTGACTTTGGACAAGCACAAAAACTGCTGAGTCATACTTAAAAAAAAAAGTGGTTAATATGCGTTGTATCTTTCAATACATATTTGTTGTAAAAATGAGGTAACTGCAGAATAGGTCCTTATATATATATATATACTTTATAATGTGTGTATAATTAAAATACTAATTCAGGACCTATTGGATCATAGAATTTAAGAATTTATTGAAGAATTTTTATTTTTTTTTATTTTTGTGTGTAGGGATTGACCAATTGTATTGGAGCTGTACTTGATGGAATGTTAAAACGAGGCTCTGGACATATAGTGAACATGTCTTCTGATGCAGGGAGAAAGGTAAATGGTCACTTATGTTTTATAATGAATGGGGTTTCAATAGGTCATGCTACACACACCAGTTTATGAATTATAACAAATGGGGTTTAAATAAAAATGTCAGGGTTTAAAATTCTTTAATATTAAATAGTTCAAAAAGTTCATCATGGAATTAAGTTCTTGTTTTTAAGTCCTGTAGCAGAGTGGGCATTCAGTTTAACCCATGTCCGTCTGTACGTCCTTCTGTTTTCTTCTTTGGATCTCCAATAAGACTTTCTCGGTTTTTAATGCCCCAGCTGCAGTGGAGGGGGCATTAAGTGTTACCATTGTCTGTATGTACATCCCAAAATTAGTTTGCTTCAACCAAATGTTAATACACACATACACAATGCTTATTACAACAAAACTCAGATCAAGTTAGAATTTAGGTTGCTTCCCTTTTATCTTCCTGAGTTATGTCTTTTTATAACATTATATGCAAGTCGGTGCATCATCTGTGTCCTATGGAATTATTCTCCATTTATTTATCAAGCTTCATGTGTGCTTGCATTACCATCTAATGCCCTTATGCATCCATTACTAAATAACTTCCTGTTTACTTAATACTGGTAGTAAAGGCATCATTAGTGAGGGTAGGAATACTTTATACTGTCAGGTGTCAAACAGTCATCTTAGGCTACTGTAAGCGTCAAACGGTCATTTTCGGCTACTGTTAGCGTCAAATTGGTTAAAATTTTATTGTGTTTAGTCAAAATATGCTATCTTATTTGTCAGAGGTCTCAAATAATTATCCTTTACCGTTATTTGTTTATGTAGAAATAAATACATGATTTTCTTAAGTCAAATAACATTTCCAGGGATTGCCAAAACACACACATAATGCATTGTATTTGGTGGAACAAGCAAAAAACACGTCATAAGTATCTTGATAATACTTCAAATAAACTTTTTCATTAAAAATAATATTATATCTTTGTGCAATAATATTGTTTAAATTAGAAGTCAGGATAAAATTTTCATCCCATTATTTTAAAGTTTTGGCACTTAGAGAAGCTAAAACATACTGTGGATCCATAAATAATTGTTTGATATCAGTTTTCGTGGGTGTATTTGAACCATAAATTCAAACGAATTACAAAATTTCTATCGGCTTTGTATGTAGAGATCAGCAAAACCACAAAATCAAATATCCAAGAAAATGAAAGGTTTCCTCAATTTACGAAAATTGAAACCCACAAAAATAAATAAATCCACAGTAGGTTTGGGATTGGGGAATCTTGATTAAATTACTGCTACATAGGGCTGAAACCATGGTAATAGAAAAGTGTTTGATTTAAAAAAAAAAACAACTACCGTATTTTCCAGAAAATAAAAGGCACCCCTAAATTATGTAAATAAGGCGCACAGCCGTTTTTTGTGGGAAGGAGTGTTTTTTTCCTTACATAAAACGCAACTGAATATAAGGCACACCCCGATGTAAAAGTATATGTGTTCTACTGACCTTATCCTGCGGTACATTTCTATTATTTTGCAGGGTTTCCCAGGACTAGCAGTATATTCTGGTACCAAGTTTTATGTGGAGGGATTATCTCAGGCTCTCAGACAGGAAGTATGTGGGTCTGGTGTCAGGGTAACATGTATACAGCCAGGAGATGTTAAAACAGAATTAATCTCTCACTCTACAGATAAAGAGGTAATATTTTGTAAACAAAAAAGGAAGTAGTATTAAAATTATATTCTTAGAATTGAGAATGGAAATGGGGAATGTGTCTAAGAGACAACAACTTGTTCAAAGAGCAGAAAACAGCCGAATGCCACCAAAGGGTCTTCAACGCAGTGAGAAAATCCTGCACCCGGAGGCGGGTTTCAGCTTGCCCCTAAACAAAAATGTGTACTAGTTCAGTGAAAATGGACATCATACTAAACTCCAAAACATATAAATGAATAAAGATTAAAAATCATACAAGACTAACAAAGGCAAGAGGCTCCTGACTTGGGGACAGGCGCAAAAATGCGGCAGGGTTAAAGTCATATGAAACTTCAAATACAAAAAATTATGCATATGTTTTTTATAACTAAATGGCTAGTTTTTATTATAAAACTTATGTACATATACTTTTTTTCAAGAAAATTTTATAATTTGTCCAAATTTAGAAGAAATTTTACTTTTTTTATTTGTTTGCTTCCAGTTAACAATTCACTGATATGTTTTCCGTATGCAGTGAACTCAGCTTAACCTTCCTCGTAAAAATCCAGTGATCGCAATACGCATGGATTTGTCATTGAAATTAACTATTATGATCTTATTGTACATGTTAAACACATGCTCAATATCCATGCTTCTTTGTTGATTGTTTACTAAGGTGACAATCGGCAAACTACGGCTTCAAAACACGACAATTAATTAGTTGCCATATTTTCACATCATAACAGACCAAGAGAAATTTTATTTTGACGATTATATGATATGGATGTATAAAAAATGATAAAATCGTGCACAGAAGACTAAGTTTATGATATATACATGCATTGGTTCAAGAATTGGATAGACATTATTTTTCACCAGTCACTCGTTTCATATGACTTTAAACATTTTTAGTGAAATCTCAACTTCGCTGTTTAGATATTTTTCATTGAACTTTCATATTTAATTCTTCCTATCTGTTTTCTTATGTTTTATAGATTGACCTTTATTTTTGTTCATTAATTTTCCATCTTGCATGAGTTCTGGCTTGATCTTTAAAAAACTTCAGACAGGATCAGAGACAAAGCTTGATAAAAATTAAGCAGAGTAAAATATTAGATTCTACTTTCAAAATTAATTTTTGTTACATTTACACATTGCTATTACTGTTGATAGTACATTGAAATTGAACAATGATTCCTGCAATCATTAATGATCTAGCATATTTGAGAATATCTGATGTAGGATGATACTTTTATGCCCCATTTAAGGGCATGAGGTTTTTCGGTCTGTGTTTCCATTCGTTTGTCTGTTCGTTTGTTCATTTGTCCTTCTGTTTGTCTGTTCATTTGTCCTTCTGTTTGTCTGTTCATTCATCCTTCTGGCCCACTTCAGAATAAATGTTAAATTTTTTGGTCAAGGTAGTTTTTGATGAAGTTGAAGTCCAATCAACTTGAAACTTCGTACACATGTTGACTATGATATGATCTTTCTAATTTTAATGCCAAATTAAAGTTTTGACCCCAATTTCACAGTCCACTGAGTATAGAAAGTGCGAGTGGGGCATCCATATACTATGGACACATTCTTGTTAGAATGTATAATACATGAAAAAGATAAAAGACATTCCCTGAAATACTGGACAGTTCTTATCAACTTTTAAACCAAAGTTCGCCAGTTAACAATTGTTCAAACAAAGAAAAACAAAAATGAACATCATATGGTCGAGGAAGCTTGACTTAGTACACAAGATTTTCAATGAAAAATTTGGTATAACATTTGTATATTGTTGAGAATTCTTCACAAAAAAGGTCCAAGACTAGAATAATTTCTCCAGTGTTAATTTTTCTCTCAACCAGAAGGATTAGCTTATTATCTTTTAAAAGGTTTTTGGATTATGTATATTTTATAGGGGGTCCAATTGTTCTCAATAGTCCATTTATAGTAACTATTTTATACATATGTAACACTCAGAAATGTGTCCTTCTCCCTAAACGTGTTCGATTCCCCCCAAACGTGTCTATATAACGTCGCTGAACTCCAAATCATGTCTAGTTGTAAAAGGGCCCTAAAGCATGTCATTTTTATTAACGCCAAATCATGTCCATTTTTATAAAAACGCCCAAACATGTCCAATCTCATAAACGTGTCCATATGAAGCCTAACTTTTTCCATTCTCTGAAAGCTCAAGTGTGTCCTTATTATAAAAATGTCAAAAAGTGTCCCCTTTTATTTGGTTATTGCTCTTTCATTGATGTATACTCCTTTTACTATTTTATTGCAAATTGAAATATAGTCCTTTAGGTATTTATCAAACTAACAGTATAATCCATGCTAAAGTGGGGCCTCCTTTTGGTTGTGCGAGGTGTTAAAGTATGCAGCAATGTTAGGTAATAATGTTGATATTGAATCAGATATATCCTGTATAGGTAGAATGTCCACTATCTGCACATCAAAATCCTCTTTCAGGGTGTCGTCGATGGTATGCAGCAAGGCAACCATTTTAGTCCCTATACATATACCCTTATTATCTAGTGGCAGTTAGAATTTCCCCAACTTTAATTTCATACGGCCTCTATTATATAAAGGGGAATAAAAGATTGGTTTACTGAAGTCCAGTAAAAATTAAGTCGTCTTTCTCCGCTTCCAATTATTATTATAAAATTTCGAGTCCCGAATAGTGTAAATTCCTGATAATTTTTAAGGATACATTTGGGAGGATCAGACATGTTTGAGAGTGTTACATATATGTCATACATTTTTTTCACAGGCACAAGAAAAATATGATGGGAGTTCATCCTGTAAAATCCTGGAACCAACAGACATTGCCAATGCAGTATTATATGCAGTGACACAACCAGAATATGTAGGTGTAAATGAAATATTGGTGGAACCTAGAGAGGCACCTGCTTGATAAACAATCAAGTATTTAAGGACAATTGTGCATTATTCCAACTTTGGAAAACTCAGGAAAAGCATTAAATTAAAAATTTGTGTCAAAAAAGTAACTTTGAAATGGTTGAATTATTTGTATTCATTTGACAAGATAAGGTGAATTCAGGTGAATGTGTTTGAATTTTAACAATATGACCTGTGTTAGATAGAGAGGCAATTGAATATCAATACATCTGTTAACTTATTTTGGGTTGGAAAAAATCTCTATACAAAGTCTGTAACTGTTTGAAAATTGAGTTGATATAAGAACCTTAAGGAACAGACCATAATTCATCTTTTATTTCATATTTAAATGTTCTACACATACATGTGCTGCAACTTATATTATAAGTTATTATTTGTATGTTGGAAATGTAAAACATTAATGAGGAACATTGGTGAAGATTATCCCCACTTAATTACAGGTGGCGCTGTGGTAGATCAGGTCCAACAACATCTGTTTGTATGATAAGAAAGTCAGCATGCATTCATAGGCATGATACACATACATGTGCTGCAACTTATATTATAAGTTATTATTTGTATGTTGGAAATGTAAAACATTAATGAGGAACATTGGTGAAGATTATCCCCACTTAATTACAGGTGGCACTGTGGTAGATCAGGTCCTACAACATCTGTTTGTATGATAAGGAAGTCTGCATGCATTCATAGGCATGATACACATACATGTGTATGCTGATAATTTAGTCTTAATAAAGATATTTTGTTTTAATTTTTATACTTATAACTATTCCAAATATTTTAATGATACAATATAATGTCAAAAGTTTTGTAATTGAACACTGCCTGAACTAAGAAAAACAATTGAAATTAAGAGGTGCAGATGTAACAAGAAGACAATTAAGAGAGTTGATTGAAGGATAGGTTTAAAATATATTTATAAATATAAATATAAATGCATTTTTATCATGTCTTTCTTCATTAAAAACAAATGGAATATAGAGAAGTTTTTAGAAACATGTATTCATTACTGAATATTTAATTAAATATATTTACAAAAATATTCAAATTATAATGAATTTTTCGTTTTGGTTTTCATTGCAATTAATTTCATAAATTTATTAATTAATTAGATTTTGTAATTAGAATTAAAACTATATACATCTATATGACAAATTATAAACCAAATCTAGCTTAAAAAAAAATTGATGGGTTTTTCCACAAAAAAACTATAAAAAAAATATCTCTCAGGACTCTTAGTTAAGAATATTTGACAGAAAGCAAAATTTGGAAATGACTTTATACATTTTACATCAAAACCAACAGAGGTAAATCTGGACCCAAAGCAAAAAATACTAGGTACTACAGTTAAGCAGTTGTACAACAGTATATCTGAAATACTTGCGACTGGGAATCAAAATGACTTATTGTTTGTCAATTCAAAGTGTTATACTTAAGCGAAAAGAAAAATCTCAAACAAAGTTGATGTTTTGTGCAAAAATAGAGACCTCTTTATTATTGTGTCCAATTGTGACTGTGCTGCTGGTATAGTCACAACAGCTCATAGTAAACTTTGTATAAATGCAGTTCGTTTTGGTATGACAGTTTGTTTTTTTCAAGGAGTTGAGGACAGAGAAAACTTGCTCACAACATTTGCTTCTCCAGGTGGATTAACAGAAAAAAATATAGTATCAGTAATCAAATGCCCATATACATTCCAAAATGAACTGTTCACACCTAAATCTGTTCCTTACTTGTCTGAGGTAAATGGGGAGTAAGTGTTGAGCTAAAAAACATCATTATACTTTCAACTACAATGAAAAATGTTTTGATCTAGAAAACAAGCATGTGATATTTTTGTGTACATATTTAAGATCAGAAATTAATATCAAAGAAATTAAAAATGTGTAGCTGAAATGAAAGATGTTTAAACGTTTTTATTAGATTGATATTTAAAACAAGCAGATCATATTTTTTAATTATTGTTTTGGAATATGAATACTTTTCATTCACCAAAACTTGTTATTGATGTTTTATCACTCATAAAAAGAAACATCATAGAAAACTACACTTCTTTTGTTAGGTGTCCATTCTTTGTGTGTTTTATCCTTTGGATTTCGTTTTATTGCAATTGCCCATTTCATTTTTGTCGAGCCTTCGACTTTAGTCGAAAAAGCGAGACATAGCGATCCTACATCCCGTCGGCTTCGTTGTCGGCGTCCACAAATATTCACTCTGTGGTTAAAGTTTTTGAAATTTTAATAACTTTCTTAAACTATCCTGGATTTCTACCAAACTTGGACAGAAGCTTGTTTATGATCATAAGATAGTATCCAGAAGTAAATTTTGTAAAAATAAAATTCTTGTTTTTCCATATTTTACCTGTAAATGGACTTAGTTTTTCTGCTGGGAAACATTACATTCACTTTGTGGTTAAAGTTTTTAAAATTTTAATAACTTTCTTAAACTATCCTAAATTTGTACCAAACTTGGACAGAAGCTTGTTTATGATCATAAGATAGTATCCAGAAGTAAATTTGTTAAAAAATAAATTTCATTTTTTCTGTACTTTGCTTATAAATGGACTTAGTTTTTCCGCCCAGGAAACAATACATTCACTCTGTGGTTAAAGTTTTTAAAATTTTAATAACTTTCTTAAACTATCCTGGATTTGTACCAAACTTTGACAGAAGCTTGTTTATGATCAAAAGCTAGTATCTAGAAGGAAATTTTGTTAAAATTTTGTACCTGTTTATCCGTATTTTACTTATAAATGGACTTCCAGTTAACATTAAATACAGTCTGCAGTTAGAGTTTTTAAAACATTTATTAGATTCATAAACTATCCTGGATTTATACCAAACTTTGACAGAAGCTTCTTACAATCAAAAGATAGTATCTAAAGGAATATTTTTATTGATTTTTTTCCCCATTTTTGTTGAGCCTGCGATTAACAGCAAAAGTAGGAGAGACAATGGGTTCCTCGAAACCCTTACAAATTTTTTAACTTCCCATTTTTAATATGGGAACACATGTATATCCACCTCTATTAGAACATGCAGGTTCACAACAAAATGGCATTTAAGGGAATAAAAACTTATTATTTTAACTTGTAAACAAGTAATCAACACACTGTAATTCTAAATATATAGGTTATAGATATGAGATGCTGTGTGTGTTGGACCTGATCTACAGCACTGCCACCTGTATTATCATTAAAGGGGAATATTTGATCAATGTTCCTCATTGCAATCTAAAGCTGTAAAATAAAAATTATGATTATATGCAAAATGAGATTTTTTTAAGAAGACAGAAATCCTGAATTATTTTAGCAGCAGTCTGTGTTTAAACTATGTTCTATAAAAGAGGGACGAAAGATAACAGAGGAACAGTCAAACTCACAGATCGAAAACAAACTGACAACGCCATAGCCAAAAATAAAAAGACAAACAGACAAATAATAGTACAGATGACACAACATAGAAAACTAAAGACTAAGCAACACAAACCCCACCAAAAACTAAAAACTATAAATGCAATACCAAAAATAAAATTATTTGAAAATTTTGAGACAAACTTTCTTGAATTAACTGATATACTCTAACCTACTTATTTTTCACCCAAACATATTGTTTGTTGTATTTAGCCCTCTCTAATGGACTTTTAATAATTTATTTTTTTACAATTTCTAATATTGATGGAAATGTTTTAAGAAATTTAATTAATCAATAGAACAGAATTAGAGACAAGGAGTAAGCCTCCTTCATTTACTATAGCTACTATGTAGCAAATACCTTTGGATTTAATGACCTTGTTTGTTATGCAAGTAATACCAAGTCTTTCAAACTTTATTATGGTTATAGAATAAAATGTTTGTACTATATTTTCTTCTTGTTATCTTGATGGCCTTATATTTCTGATTCATGCATCTATTTTCACATGTTCTTATTATTCCACCCTGAGATAAATTAAAATGATTTACATTCTGATTGTATTTCCTCATCTGTTTCATCAGATCAGTTCCACCCTCAGAGAAAGATATAATGTTCATATTCTGATTGTATTACTTCAGATATTTCTCCAGATCAGTTGTGTACTGTAAACCAACTAATTTTGGGAAGTGATTTATTTCCATGACTCTCCTGAGTAGAAGAGAAAAGCGAATTTAAATCTTACCTTATATATATGCTAAACTTTGGTCTACCCTTATATAATTACATGGAGAACAAGAATGTGTCCATAGTACACGGATGCCCCAACCGCATTATTATTTTCTATGTTCAGTGGACCGTGAAATTGGGGTCAAAACTCTAATTTGGCATTAAAATTAGAAAGATCATATCATAGGGAACATGTGTACTAAGTTTCAAGTTGATTGAACTTCAACTTCATCAAAAACTACCTTAACCAAAAACTTTAACCTGAAGTGGGACAAATGATCGGACGAAAGAACGGACGAATGGACGAACAGACCAGAAAACATAATGCCCATAAATGGGGCATAAAAATAGAAAATTACGAAAACATATCGCTAAGAAATAGGCTTGGAAGGACTTTACACGAAATAAAGAATTCACGGTAAAATGTTTGTTAACCCATTGTAATGTAAAAGGTAAACAGTCCTAAAACATACTGATTAAATTTTTTATGGTTTTATCTTGATTTTGTTTTATACCAATTTCTTATTATTTAAATGATATTGCCTTATGAAAAAATTTCCTATGTTACTTTTTAGTTTTGACATTGATTTTTTTTATAACTTTTCATGAAGAGAATGAATATAATAACACAAGTGGTTTATTCTGTGTTCATTATTATTCGTTGATACCATTTTTTGTTGATTTCATTGGTACATTTGGTGGGGGGATGGGGGTGTCTTCCTATATGAAGGTACACACAGACATGCCGTTTGGAACTAGTCCTTTTTTAGATACTTCAAATATATCAATGGGTTGCAATTCACATAGAATTGTTTGTAAAATATTAATGAGACAATTATTATCATTTTTGATTAGATTTTTGTATAGATGCAGTTTATTGTTTTTAACCAAAATACAGATGTCAAAAATTGTACTTGTAATAACTGAGGAAGATGTAATTTCAATCGTTTGAAGGAATTGAATTAGGTGAAAATTAATTTCTTCTAGTTGTCTACCCATAGACCATTATTTGTTTTCCTGCGCCTCATGGGATATAACCATTCAGCACGACATAGCGGACTCGACTAGACGTGTTTCATATTTAAAATTTTTATCTTGCTTGTGTGAATTTATTTGATGTTATATTTAATGTTTTGATTTCAGTACTATTCATAAATTACTGACTATATTTTGTCGACATGGTATTATGTATCATAATGTGCAATTAAAATCAGCACATGGTATGGTTGTGAGGGTATTCAATTTGAAACTTAAGTTTGGTTTTTATTAGCGCTATGATTATGATGCTGTGGTTATGTGTACAGAGTTGGGTAGTCTATGGGCGTTATTAATTGTAGAAGAAATAGGAATTGGTTATGATTTTGTCATGAAATATGTATTTATGGGTCTTATTATTCAAAAGACTGTTTTTAATATATATGTATGGATGGGGTGTGTCTTTGAAATCCCAGCTGCACATCAGTACCCAAAATTTAACGTGTTGAAAAAAGACTAAAATTTAATAAAGCAGAGAAAATACCAGAGGGCAATCACACTTAATTCCAAATAAAAAAACTATCATCAACATGGGGAAAAAAACCCCAAAAAACCCAACACAAAAAAGATACCAAAAACTAGCATCAACAAGGGCAAAAAACAAAACAAATCTAAACACAATAAACTTGATAAAAATACGGAAAAATAGCATCATTATGGACAAAAGAAAAATGCTAGCAACGTAACTAAATGGAAAAAAGAAAACAAAACCTTAAACACAAGAAAGAAATGAAAAACAATCATCATTATGGGCAAAATAAGTATATTAGCAACAACATAGGCAAAAAAAAAAAACCAAACAAGCAACAACATGGCCAAAAGAAGAAAAAAAAACCAAACACAAACCGTTCATAAAGTGTCTTCAATAGTACACAACCCTACACTCAAAAGTATTGATTATAACATGAAGTATACGGTTGAGATTTTATTTTACAAAAGTGCATAAATAACATATACTTTTTCCCAACAACTATCTTCTCTTTTTAAAACCAGCTTTAACCAAACATTGGGTGAATGATCCTTAGAGGATTTCGCATTATGTTTGTCTTTTGAACAGTCATTTAACAAACCTAACCATCACATCTAAAAACAGAACACAAGGGTAAATGCAGTAATTGTATTATTCTTGAAAACTATATTAGAAAGAGAAAATCTAACAAGGCAAAATATTCTCCAGATTTCACGATCCTGTTTGTAAAAAACAATTTCAAATGATTCGTTATTGTTATAAGTAGTAATTGGCTTTAAATGACATGTTTTTGTCTTTTAACATATAAAATTATACTAGAGTCGAAACTATTAATGGCAATATGATATTTCAAAAAATATCAATTTAATCATAATCATCGGATGACCTACCTGCGCTTTTATTACAACCCATAGGGGAATGCCTCTGCTGGTGATGTTTCATTCCGAGGGTATCAACACCAAGTGGATTTTGTCCGTCTTAATGTTCTTCAACGTCGTATTTGATTAGGCCTTCCAACTTCGAGTGCTACTAATGAAACTTATGTACACTAACCAGATTATTAACCTAGTATCTTTGATGATATCCAATTGGCATCAATCAATTCAATCAATCAATCAATGAACCAATGATGAGTTTAATTAAGTAAGAGTTAGCGCTATATTTTTTCAAACATTGTTGTCAACAGCAAATTTTGATAAAATAACAAGTACTTAACATGATAAATCATTTATATTCTATGTTATATCCTAGCATTATAACTTGATCAGTGTAATATAGTTTATTTTTGCTGAAAAAGCGATACACTGTTACCTCCCACTCAATCAATCATTCACACTTTAGTTCTCCTGTAAACCAGTTGGGCACAGACCCTTATTTATGCTTCAGAAGCTATGAAATATTATTTCGTAAGAATTTAGTTTTTTTTCGATCTGAAGTCAGTATGTTTATGAAGACGTATTTATGATAGGCTATTGCCTTGTTATTTCGTTCCCTTATCATCCTTGCATTTCAGTATCATTATGTATAATTGTATTAGCATCTAAACTCTTCATTTTCAAAAAGAAATACTGAATGCTTTAGATGTGCTACATAAGTTTTCCGAAAAGGGGATTTTTTTAGGAGAATACAGTAATGTTACAGTATATGACAGCTTATCAAATTGTTATTCTATATCACTGCAAAGCATAAAATATATAGTGTATGCACACGGTTAAAAGGTAAATTTTCCCCTAAGAATAATTCAACATAATAATGTTTGAGAAAACGACGAGGAACACGAGGAAACCCCTTCATAAGCTGGTGAGAACTTCAGGATGGTAAGGATATATGTACATTTTGACTTCTGAAACGCAGCTCTGTCGCACTACAGAGTAAAAAGTAAAATAAATAAAAATACTGAACAAGGAAAATTCAAAACGGAAAGTCCCTAATCCAATGGCAAAATCAAAAGCTTAAACGCATTAAACGTTTTATAGCTAGCGAAACCTTTCACTTGTATGACAGTCGCATACAATTCCATTATATTGACAACAATGTGTGAACAAAACAAACAGACTTAATAATTAAAAATGTCCAAAAAGGGCTATAGCAGTCAATATAGTGCTATAATCTTAATCACTTAAGAGAATTGTAATTTCTAGAATGTCCTGCATGTATTTTTTTCATAATCATTGGTTTGCTCATCTTTTTTTTCAATATAACGGGAGGTTTAGCTAGACATTAACCCAGGTTTGACCTTCGGTTTTCTTTCAAAATTGCCTTTACCAAGTTAGCAATATGACAGTTTTTTTTCCATTCGTTCCGTTAGTTGATGTAGTCAAGCGTTTGATTTTGTCAAGTTTTATGGACATTTCTCTTTAAATTGACCTTGGAGTGCTTGGGTTTTTGCTGATACTTTTTTTAGACCAAAAACCGAAAGAAACGTTTTTATCAAAAAGATAAACATCTGTCGATGAAGTCACATCCTTTTCACTTAAGTCCAAAGGCTTCCTTGTGAACTAATGCAGGACCAGGTTAACTGCTCTCTTGTACATATCGATCCTTACAAATGCGTTACATGTAATTATTGAAATATTACTGCGATAACTTGTATGCACCTTTTCATCGCCAGTTTTAGATTGAACCTACAACATTCGTGAAATAGTTTGTGAGACGTAAATCATAGTTCATGCAGTGTTTTACAAGTTTGTTTTTGTTAATGTAAGTATATTTCACATAATAATTGCATGGTTTGAAAATACTTTTCATCTATTTATAAAACGGCAAACTTAGATTTCCTGTTAATAGTTAACAATTCTAACATTTACTGTTCTTATCCTGCGATTTCATTAAAAATATCGACATTACAAGAGCGAAATTCTCAAGAAGGGCACCACAGTGAACTAAATCAAGTACTACAGTCCAGCGGCGGATTTATGGGTCATGGTTCTTGGGCCCCCCTTTCGTGGGAAAAATTTGGTTGATTATATAGAGAATCACTGAAGCATGACGATAGCGGGCCCCTCTTAGGCAGTTAGTGTATACTGCCTTGCTCAAAATAAGTGTTTAAGCAGGTGAAACAAACTACCAGATAATTCCTGTGTTTTTACAAACTAAGATACATTAATGATATTAATCAATTCTTCCAATGTATATTTTGAAAAAAAAGCACTTGTTGGGTTCTTAAATTTTTAATTGACCTTCATTTTTATTTGCATTTAGGCTATGGAGTCCGTAGCAAAGTTTCTAAATGCCGCCATAGTTCTACCATTCACAGCTGGAGACGCATCTGAAAACCAAATCAACAGTGATTATATACGACCCCACGATGGTAGTATCAGTGGAGTGATTCTTATTTCAAGCGTCTTGGTGATTGTTTTTCTTGCTATGTTTAGAATTAGATTGGTGGATTCAAAAGTAAACAAGACTATACCATATTTAACATTACGTTCATATCTGTGTGTCACAATTGTCCTAGCTATAGTTGTTTTTATTTCTCATTTCATCATATATCGAGTTAAGCGTGTAAAACTCATAACTTTACCTTTAACATGCTTTCTAAAAGTCGGCGCTATTACTAAATTGAAACTTGGATTTTTATGGATTTTTACGTTTGGAGGTTTTGTGTATGCCTTGATAAAAGTGATCAGAGTTCCTTGCAAAGCGAATACACTAAAGGACTATAAGAGTGTCGGGTGTATAGACAAAAACTTCACGTACTACAAAGACTACGAAGAGGCAAATATTACTTTTCATTGCCTTCAAATTTCATTTTATTTCATCCAGTCTTGTTTTATACATTTCTTCATTCGATCCTGCTTCAGGAGTTCATGGAAGATTTATTATAGCTTTGTATTTATAGTTCTTGCAAACATATCACAATGGGCGCATTATTTTGCTGATATATACAAAGACTCAAACACAAGAGGCTACAAATTGTTTTGTCCTATGAGTAATTATTCAATTGAAAACTGCTACTGGGAAACTATTTTGAAAGAAATAGAACCATACCTAAGACCAGTTCAAATGGAGTATTTTCTGTTATCGATGGTTCTGATTGCTGAACTTTGGCCATCCAAGAAAACTTACTCAAATGAAATTAATTTGATTGAAGCAGATATCGCAAATGAATACACACCATTTGAATCCTCCACGCGTGGATTACTTAAAAAGCCTATGTGTTTGTCAAGTCGTGTACGAACTTGTATGTTCGTTACTTTGGTAGTTTTATTTTTTCTGCCTTGTTATATCTTCAGTTACTTAGCATTATTAAAAAGCGAGAAGAAGGACAAGTACGTCAATGTAACAATGAAAAATGTCAATGTGTTTTATGATATATTCATATCATTGATTGAGAAAATGTTATTGATTATGAATTTTTATATGATTTCACAATCGTCATATTTAAGACCCGTTAAACGAAAAGAAGGCTTCCATTTTCATCATAATATGTTAATTGCAAGTTTCTTAGGTTCCATTGGATATTTATCATTAGTAATGATATCGTGCATACATGCAGGACAAGAACATCTGTTAATCGCCCAGAAATTTCTAACAATGATAAAACTCTACTTTCAAGTTGTTTGCATTCTTCAATTACATAATTATGAAAAATGTCAACGAGGCGTTGGCGAATACATTTATCTTGCACTATCGATTCTGAATCTTTGTTCTTGGATTGATGGCAGTATTTTTGGAGGTATTTCCATATATGATGAAGAAATTTTAAAAGTGGTATATGATATCACAACACAGAGACTAATAACTAACGTTTTATTTCCCTTTTTAATCTTCTTTCGATTTGAATCCTTTATTATATATTATGGGATTTTCCGTCAAACCTCAGTTAAAGACACTCTATTAAAAAGCCCTGATCATTTACTATTCGATGAGCTGTAAACGTTCACGCGCAATACATTTCATGGAACAAAGTTTTCCTATGTGATATAGTGACGTAACAGGAAAAATATTATCAGTTATCAGTTTCCCTATGTATCCACATGAAATATAACCAATTGGTAAAATTGTTGTCAGTTTGTTATCTTTTCTTTTAAATGTTAAGTTTTTGTCAGATAAGTTATTGTTATTATTATTAATAAATGATGAATCATACATTTTCCGTTTTTATTTATGTACCATTTTGTTGAGGAAGGGTAACTTTGAGGAAGATTATTGATTGACTTTTGGTTGCTTAAAGTCCAGTGGCAAATATTTCATGCATGTTCAGGACGAGAACAATTCAACAATAAATACAATACGTAGGTCATGTATTAAAGGTCGTTGGGGATGAAGCTTTGACGAACAATACTGATCGAATATGTTGAAAAAAGTGCATGACTATTGATTATGCAGTGCATATGTAGTAACCAGAAGATCATTTAATATTACAGTAATTTTGTGTCTTGTGGATATGTATTGAAACAATATTTTTCCCTAACCACGGAATCATACCATTTCGCGCTAATGTAAATGTTATCATGTTTATATATAGCTTGCTATTAAAGTACAGCTGTTTGTGTTTCCTTACCATAGCCTTAGTTATTATTAATACTTTAACTAAGTCTTGAGATAAGTCTTCAGTTTAATAAGAAAAGATATTTGGCGGTTGTACACACGACGACACGTAAACGCAAAAAAAACCATGATTACAGGATCAGTACTAGTGCTAAATGTAGAAATTACTATGAATGAGCTTATGTCATCCAGGCGTGTGTCAAAATGATCTGTAAACTATATGACTATATATTCGATTGATTGATAGTTAGTGTTCAAACACTAGTTTCAGGACTATTTGCTGGCAGGTTTTATTGAGGAAGACGGATTGCCCGGAGAGAACAACCGACCTTCGGCAGGAAAACAAACCGGTAATTCTAGATAATAAAGGTTTAAATCGAATGCACCTGCAACGTGCAGGGTTCGAACTAACAATCTCTGTGCTGCTATAAAAATGTTAATCATTTTATTACTTTGTTTTATAGATTTCCAACTTTAAAAACACATCAAACGTTCTTAAAAACAAGCATCAAATCAAAAATGGATCAAAATAACTATTAGGTTGATACCCACTGCAACAATGGTTACCTACACTAGTAAAATAATTAGCAGCTTTGGTTATGGCAAATAATTAAAACTCTTTGACAAACTGTTTGAGGCAAGCATACACACTGTGAAGCTGACAAAGTGAAGCCAAAATATAAGATAAATCCTACTATTTATCAGTTAAATATATTGTTGGTATACCGATGTTCAGATATATCTCACAAGTCCAAGCATTGAACACATAAAATGGAGGTGAAAAATGTTGAATCCATTTAAAGTAAGAAACAGGAAATTATGAACATAGACATCAATAAATATGTTTGGTCTATGACTGAATTCAACTGTCACTGCGCTAACCAATTACACATGTTACATGTAATGTGAACATGATAGATAAACATCTGTATCTGCTGTTCTTTTATTGTCTAAACTGTTAAATAATCAGTCAAACTATCAATTAGTTACCCTTCCGGAGCACCTAAGATCACCCCCAGTTTTTGGTGGGGTTCGTGTTGCTTAGTCTTTAGTTTTCTATGTTGTGTCATCTGTACTATTATTTGTCTGTTTGTCTTTTTATTTTTGGCCATGACGTTGTCAGTTTGTTTTCGATCTATGAGTTTGACTGTCCCTCTGGTATCTTTCGTCCCTCTTTTCCGACAGACTACAGCGAAAAAAAAAGTTTTTTATTAAGAAATGTGTTCTTTAAAACCAGACGTAATTTAAAAATTTTATTTGACCCTCCGCCGAGTAACTTTGTCATTAAAAAATATATCAAAGATGAACAAGGCGTTCAATCATTAAACCTCTGATGATAAGAATAACATTTTCATTTCGTATAATTTCCAAAACTATTTCCAAGTTAATTTGAAAAACTGAATATCTTCAGAAATATTTATAAACCTGCAGTAATTGAGTTTTACAAGTCATTGATATACACCATTTTAAAACTAGGTGTTGCAATTTTAAAATATCTGTATTAAATTTTCAACGACTGTTACAACTTCACAAAGTTATAACAAACACTCAACAACGCTGAAAACATCGTACAACACAATCTATGACTGCTTCAACGTCTCAAACATTGACAAAAATAATTTTCAGCTGTCGAAATATTTTTACATAAAACAACTTCTTAAGCATTAAAAAATACTGTAACAAAATTATCAAAGATACCTGTCTTATAATTTTTACGCAAAACGCGAAACAAATTGGTTTTGACTATGACAACACCATTACACACTGTATCTGTTCTTACATGACTATGATAGAATATTTTGCTATCATTACTGTTATTGATTCAAGGACAAACAAATCTATGCTCTACCAAAACTTTAATCACTTCAGTAAACCGTGAAATAGTGGCATGTGTATTTAGCGTAAATGCTTGTAGTGTGATAAATTTTGGTATTTGACGTACTTTCGTTTCTAAATTAAAAGAATTCTCATTTGACCCATGATTTCTTCATCTAATGTCCGTAGTAACTTTTCTCTTTTTCAGAATGTTTAAAATGATTGACAGTTCATCAAAATCAACAAATTATGTTCTGTTCTCCCGAATTACATAGAATTCCTTTACGATAATGCGTCAATATGTCCTATGAATATCAGTTTCAGATTCAAATTCATCCTGGTCACGGAATCAATTCGCTAAAAGATTGGAACTATAAACATGCATACAAAAACAGAGGCGTCTAGCATTAAAATCGAGAAATTCATGAGGGGATACATTACCTACTTTAAAATGATTGTGAAAATTTAAGATAGTTAACTATCAATTCTTGGTCTCATCAACTTGAATCGATATATGATAGATCTATGCATGGCAATCATACCACATTACTTTGTGTATGTCTAGTACAAGTCATAACTCATATTATCATTGAACATATTTGAAACATGACATGTAGGACATTAATCGTCCATCCATTACACTTTTTGTTCTCATCTCAATTAAAAGAGTTTGTGTCTTGCTACATCATCTAAGATATTGCAATTTGTTTTGTGTTCCTGTCCCAAGCAAAACCAGTAAGTGAGAGAAAATAAGATTAAACAGTTAAGTAAGGACATTTGTTTTGTTACAATATATGTTTTACATACAGCGAAAATCTCAGCAGAGATGGTCCTTAAACGTTTGTCAATATCAGAACACCAAATAAAATTGTTCTTGATAATTTGTCATCTGGTGATGATAATACTAATAAACATGCAAACATAGATAAACTTTGCTACAATTTAATGTCATTAGATTCTGAAATAACCTGTTATTTGACTGAATTTGGATGGAATTTGTCTCAACATTCTAAAAAGAATGAATAAGATTTTACTCTGTTTCAACATTTTCTTATCGTTAATTCTGAATTCTTCCGAACAAATTCTTTATATCCTAATTTTTCCCAACAGATTATTAGCATTCTGAATGTGTCTTAACAGGTTTTTATTATCGTGATTTGTCTCAACATATTCTTAACGTTCGAAACTAAAAATTTGGTTTTGGGGACTAACATTTATTTTCATTTAAAAAAAACCCCAAAACACCCCAATATTTGTTTTAATGACGTAAGTCAACTTTGTAAATAATTTCTATCTTTTCTATTGATAGAAACAAAGTTTTATCCATGAATAAGTTCAATTAATATAAAAGGATGAAGTCTCTTGAGAAAGTTAAGTCTTCTACACGCAACCATATCTATTGTAAAAATTTCCTTGTATATCATATACAGGACAAGATAAAGTGTTACTGAAAGTTGCAGATCTTTAATTGATGTGTATCATGTAGTTGGTGTTACTATTACAAGAACTCGATAGGACTTTTCATTATTTGTTTTATAAATTGAACTTAGAACATTAGTGAAGCGGATTGAGTGAATTAGTTCTTGTAGTACCGTATTTGATACATGTTAATTTCGTCTGCGAATGTAAGTATATCTTCATCTATATCAATAACCCCAGTAAGCATGGTTTGAAATTAATCGACCTATAAAAATCAAAAGCCAAGTGTTTCTTCAGCTTCAATTTGATACTGTAAATGTATTGATTTTCATCCTGCAATTTCTTTCTTTCAATTGAAGTTGACATTAGAATCAGTTCGCGAGGACACTACAACGAACTATTGCGTTACAGTAATAATAGGTCTGCTTTTTTTTTTTGGCAAATTTGCTATGTAATAGAAGGTACTAGGATACAATATTTGTACACTATAGAGTTTTTTACGTACCTTTATATCTGTAGAAAAATGGCTTCGTCCGCTTTTATTCTATTTTTATATTGTAATTAGAATTTCAGCATTTGGACCAAGCTCCACATACAACTCCTGGGTTAACACAAAACAGATATGTTCTATATACATAATTCTACAGAGTTTCATTAATGAAAATTTTGTTTTGTTGGATTGTTTTCTCATTTAGGTTTAACAACGTGTCTATTTGAATTTTAGCAATGGAGTGCGTAGCAAAGATTGTAAATGCCGCCATTGTTCTACCATTCACAGCTGGAGACGCATCTAATAACCAACACACAAGTACTTATATACGACCTCACGATGGAAGTATCAGCGGAATAATTATTCTGTCAAGCGTCTTGGTGATAGCGTTTCTTGCAATGTTTGGAATAAGATTGGTGGATTCAGAAGTAAACAAGACCAAACCATATTTTACAATGCATTCATATCTGTATGTCACAATCATCCTATCTATAATTGTTTTTATAGCGCATTTCATTATACATAGAGTTAATCGGGAAGAACGTTCCAGAAAAGCTGACGCCATAGCCAAATTGAAACTTGGATTTTTATGGATTTTTACAATTGGAAGTATTTTGTATGCCCTGGCAAAAATAATCAGAATTCCATGCAAAATGAAAATTGTAAATGAATATAGAAGCAGTGGGTGTATAGACAAAAATATAACTTACTACAATGGATATGAAGAGGCAAACATCAGTTTTCATTGCACTCAAATTTTGTTTTATATTCTCCAGTCTTCATTTATCCATTTTTTCATTCGTTGCTGCTTTAGAAATTCATGGAGGATCTATTATAGCCTTGTATTGATAGTCCTGGCAAACATTTCCCAATGGGCGCATTATTTTTCTGGTGTATACAAAGACAAAGATAAAAGAATCTATAACCTAAATTGTTCTATTAGCAACTATTCAATTGACAGCTGCTACGGGGAAACAATTTTGATAAAGATAGAGCCATACCTAACACCAGTTGAAATGGAGTATTTCCTTTTATCGATGATTTTTATTGCTGAACTTTGGCCATCCAATAACAGTAACACACATGAAGTAAATGTGCTTGAATCGGATCTCGCCAATGAATATACACCCTTTGAATCCTCCACGAATAGATTAACAAGAGTGGCTATGTGTTGGTCAAATAGTGTTCGAACCACTCTGTGCGTTGGTTGTGTAGTTATATTATATTTGCCTTGTTATATTTTTGGATACTTTGCATTAGCAGAGAGCGAGAAGAAGGCAAAATCCGTCAATGTAACAATGGAAACTGCAGATATACTGTATGCTATATTTATTTCATTGATTAAGACAACGTTATTGATTTCATGTTTTTATATGATTTCCCATTCGTCATATTTTAGACCTTTCAAACGAAAAGGAGGCCTCCATTTTCATCATAAGATGATAATTGCTAGTTTCCTTGGTTCCGTTGGATATTTATCATTATTAATTTTTTCAAGCATACATGGTGAAAAAGCAAATTTGTTAATCGCCCAAAAAATTCTCACAATAATAGAACTGTACTTTCAATTAATTTGTATTCTTCAATTAAACAACTATGAAAAATATCAGCGAGGCGTTGGCGAGTTTATTTATCTTGCACTGTCAATATTCAATCTTTGCGATTGGGTTGATGACAGTTTTTTTGGAGCTGTTTCCATATATGATAAGGAAGTTTTACAACATGTATATGATATCACCACTCAGAATCTCATTACTAATTTTTTGTGTCCCTTTTTAATCTTCTTTAGATTTGAAACTTTCGTTTTTATGTATGGTATTTTTCGCCAAACCTCGTCTAATAACAGTTTTATAGAGAGCACTGAACATTTACTATTTGATGAGATTTGAATTTACAAATAAAAAATACACTTTTTATAAAAATTCGTGTGATATAATCATGAATGCTTACTGATTTAAAAGTAAGTGGGAATGTATTCTCAACAGTTTATTGTGAACTAACATATGTAACATGATATTTTCTCTACAAGGAAGATAGTTGGACCTAAATATTTACATTTATTATGTTCTGTTTTGTCATGTTGGTCATTATTTTTAATAAATGTTGTAATGTAAGTTCTATCTTTCTATCTTTATATATATATATAGAAATGTCCTGTCATTATTTTTTTTCATCAGAAAACAGGAAAACATAAGTCACGATCATGTCACTTTTATTTTTAGCATGTTACTAAAAAAAACGAAACAATGCAATTGTTAAGATCTTTTGAGGAGGATATACAGTTGTTTGGGAAGTCACATCTTATGCACTTAAAACACACATTTGAAAAGTTTCCTTATGTACGCATAACATGTCAAGACAAACGAGGAACTTGAAGGGTCTTATTTTTTGTATTTTTTAATTGTTCTGGGCCATATTTCTTCTTTCTTTTTTTCTGCTCATTATTCTCTATCCTTTTTTCGGATATGTTACCCGATGATTGTTTTGCCGATTATTTTTCATGCTGTAAACCCAATACAGACACCCAATGACGTGTTTCCTTAAGTCTTGATTTATAAATTTGAATGGTGGTTTGAAAGATAAATCAAACTATTAGTCTTACATTTTCCTGGTCGAGTTATGTTTTCTATTGAATATAAAGAAAAGGAGACCTGTTATGATTGCCAATGAGACAACTATCCATAAATACTAAATGACTAAAATGCGAATAAGTAGAGGACACCATAAGGCTTTCAACAATTAGCCAAAGCAATACCGTATAGAAAACTATAAGAGATCCCATGAAAAAGATATGCGAAATAACTGCCTGATTTATACAACACCAACAGACAAAAAATTACAATGGAAAATGCCAACGCGGTAACCACAGGATTACAAGCTTTTGGCAATCGGCAGCACATAAGAAATATGAAGGTGTAAAACATGTTTGTAATGCTCAACACTCGGAATTTAGTCTCCCCTTAGTTTGGACAGTTGTGTTACAACGCAACATAAGAACAAACTGTAACAATGAGTTGGAAATGGAATAACTTACCGGATAGGTACTTAACATAAAAAAAGAAAAAGAAAACAAAAACAAAAAACAACACAAAAACATATAGAGATATAGAGTACTACAATAAGATATGAGTAATTGAAAATTAGTTTAAAGCACAATTTCAATTACTTAGTACTAGATAAACCATGTTCTCCTAGACTAAAAACAATTATCTTTAACAATCCTATTTTTGAAAAATTTGTGATGTTTGGTTGATGTCTCATTTACGTTTACCTTTATAGTTCTTTGAATCTCATCTATGTAGTCAAATACTGGCATAGTTGACAGCTGGACGCGCATCTGAAAAGCAGAATACCAGTGATTACTTTGTTCCTCGTGGTGGTAATATATGCGGAGTATCGTAAAAGGAATGGTACTTGTTTCAAGCAATTTGGTGATAGCATTTCTCGGGGTGTCTGGAATACCATTGGTAGATTCAGAGAAAAACAAAACAACTCAATACATCATTGGTTGAAATTCCAAAGGAACATAGAAGAGACCTTTGATTATCCAGGATTTCCTCTTTGGTAATTGTCGCTAGGGTATATGCTGAGTGTCCACGTGAATTGACAGTTCCTAATTCATTTATCAAACAGTTTATATATCTAATGTGATTTAAACACAAACATGATGTTGTTTAGGGACTAATTTGCGGGGACAACACCATATTTGTCATGGAAATAGTACAGATGCTTTGCAAAATTTGGGTCTTTAAAGAATGATGTAGAATGCGTATATATAGACCCATTAAGTTTTTTTAATTCTGATTTGTATAAACGACCTAATGGCCTTAATCCACACGGAAAGAATATCTACGTTTTCTTTTTCGCATGGTGTACTGGTGTACTTTCGTAAATTCATAGGAGATGGTGTCCGTTGTTATTCTGTATTGTAAAGTACTATTATTTATTTTATTAATGTATTTCTCTGTCCTGAGTGTTCTTTCGTTTATTTGTAATGTATTCGTGTCACGTAATGTTGTCATTTTAGCGGTATTTTTAACATTGCCATATAAGCGGGAAGTTTGGCTAGCCATAAAATCAGGTTCAAACCACCATTTTTTTTCTTTAAATGTCCTATACCAATCCAGGAGTATGGCAGTTGTTATCAAATTGTCCGTTTCTATGAATGTTGGCGTTTGTTTTTGAAGCAGTTCAGTGTTTCTGTTGGTCCGTTGCTTTCCTCTTATAGTTGATGTGTTTCCCTCGGTTTAAGTTTGTGACTCGGATTTGTTTTCGCTTAATCAATTCATGACTATTGAACAGCGGTATACTACTGTTGCCTTTATCTAACTCATTGCCTGGCATTATCCTTGACTGAGTCAATCTGTATTTTGTAGTTGTGTTTCCAATTGTTGGAATTAGGCCCACAATATTTCGGGCCTTTGGACAACACATTTTGCAGAGAAGTGTTATTGACAATTTTAGGTCATCAGTATTAGCGTGGCCAATCGGATTATACATAAATGTGGACCTAATACAGGTGCAATCAGGATGTTAAGACCTGAAGTCGTCAATATTGAATAACACTCCTTCCAAATGTAACTTCCACCGAAAAATGAAATACGGCATTTCAATATGTATGTGAGTTTTATTATATCAGTAAATTTTAAAATGTCATATATGTCTTAATTCATCTGTATAACATTATACACCTAAATGTATAGATGATAAACATGTTCTTACGCATAAATATTAGTACTAGACTTTTAATCTGATAGCTCTTTATCATGTCTACATTACAGAATATAAATCCATACACAAATAGGAAACACTTTGAAAGGAGTGAAAGATTTTTTACAAATATCTGTAGAGAGAAATGCAAAAAGCGTTAAGTGTACACAGCGTTAAGTGTACACAATTGAAACATTGTTGCTTTATAAAATCTTATTTATAACCCAAATTCTGTCAACTTCACAGATATAGCACTTCGTAAAAATAAAATTGTTTTGAGTTAAACAAAGTTAAGACTTCTCCACGTTTCTCTTCCCGGAACAGGAAGACAATACACTTGCATATACTTCTCTAGACATAATGAATCACATTTTGCAAGCCCAATTCCGGACCCTAAGTTTTGTTTTTGTTAAATAATAAAGTAATTATCTTGAATCATAATAATTTTGTACCATATTCATGTCTTTTCGTACACTAACAAAAACCATATATTACGAGACCTTTTTCTACCATGACCTTTTCGTACCACAAATATAACATTCGTATTCTATAGGTGATCTGCTAAGATGTATCTTCGTATCATGTAGACCATATCAACGGATTATAAACCTATCCCGTGCGTGAAATTTTGACTTTGCTCCGATGAGATGTAAAACATGAACATCAATGGTAAAAATAGAACATTACAATAAAACTGCCGTTGTAGGCTAATATCGAAAGAATAAAACTTTACTATCCAATATAGATAATTGCCTATTTAACATCAGTATTTGCAAATTTTGTTGTTTTTTTATTGGTATTATTATGAAAACTTTTATAGATCGAGAGAAACATTTATAGCAAAAATGGCCATCAAGTACATCCATTTATAAATCAACATGACTGAAATCATCAATCTTTCTTAAAAGAAGGTAGTATCCTTATTGACAGTTTTATCAATTTCTGTTGCGTGAAATCGTCTGTCAATTCTATCTAGGACTTAGTTTTCTTCATTGATGATTTTTACTCTTTTTATAACTGCAAACATTTTTCTAAAACACATGTTTTGTACCATAACAGAAATGATGAACGGCCTGTATTCTACAATCGATCACCATTTTGTTCCAATCAGATGAAAAACGTAGCTGTCACAAGTAAAACAAATCTTGCAGTTGTATGCTTATATCTCAAAAAGAAAAATTGTTTGAGCATTTGCGTGAAAATAGTAAAAAAATCGAAATGCAAAAAACTATCTACTTCGAAATAATTGAAATATTTGAAAATCAAATTACTTGATAATAGTAATTTCTACTTATTTGTCAATCAATATGTAGCCAATTTTGCAGTGTTTGAATTCTATCTTAGAAACTCCAAAAAGTGAAAAATGACCATATAAGGCAAGAACTATCAATAAATCGAAATGGCTCTCATCTTTATTAAACAACAATAGATATAAAGAAACTTTTAACAGCAAAACTAAGGAGTGTTTTAAACAATTAAATAATTAGAAATCATCAGTAAACTCTTTTAAGGAGTTACTGCCTTGAATGCGTAATGTTAAATCTATTTTCCTTTTGTGGTGAAATCTCTAGTAGATAAAGAAAAATGCACTGGGTTAAATTGGTAAGCACGACAACATCTACAAATACCTGAAACAAGGAAATGTGGTCATTGTCAGTTAATTAATTGTAAAAGCCCTTTAATGACGATTTTTAATTTTGTTTTATCTTTCTTGACTATTTACTAGGAAACTGTTACAGCCAGAGAGAAATTTCAAAATTTCATCCTTTGGCGTGAACTTGCAATTTGTTCATTTTGTTAGAATAAGTGATGATGAAGCTGAATCAATCGACAAACCTCGGGTGACTCCGCTTCTCTTCATCTTAGATGGAGGTACGGAATCGGCCGAGTTGTGACGAATGGAAGCCTAATATTATAAACGTAACATTGCGTTCAACACAAAAGACAGTCGAAAAACAGTTACTGTTTTCATTAAAGATACGACAGACTTGTGTATACATGTAGTTAAAAGAAAAGATCATAATCGGTGTCAGCATCTATTTCGTAAAAATAATGTGTATTGTAAAAAAATATTTTAAGACGGTATTTTGCAATTTGTTATGTCGTTAAAAAATTAAAATATTGAAATGAATTTTGATATCTAGAATTCTCCGAAATCTTTAAACATCAAGAGTTCAAAAGAAACCAATTAAGTAGACTCCTCTTTTGTTACAAATATCTGACACATTTGACTACTCACACATCCCATACGATTTCCATTTAATTTCATTTGTCGATGAGACCTAATGAAATCGTTTAAAAGTATCGTTTCTGGTGTTCTTTTGAGAGATATCTATAATACATAACAATCATTTGATGTCTTATTGTTTCATAGACATATCAATTATCTGACATTTGTTAAATG